ACTGGATTTTGGGCTCAACAATCAACACAATAAGGTTTAAATTGAGAGAAATTAGAAAAAAATCTGTTCTGTTTAGAAAGATGTTATTTCTATTGGGAGATTGGACAAATGAAACAACATAAAGATATATTTTCTGTTAGACTCGTTTTTCTTAAAATTTCTCAATTTAAACAAGTCTAACAAAAAACTGTATGCCAATAGAACGTTCAAATTAGACTGCATTTTTTTAAAGATAAAAAGATTTTTTTTATTATACTATTCCCATCAAATGTTCTAGCCTCATGTGACGAAATGCTGATATAACGTGATAAAACTCAGAATTGGAATGATTATGGATCAAAGTCAAATGCGTAATGCCTGCGGAATCGAGGTTTGGTACTAGTGTGTATTTCCTATGATTTTACTATCAGGAAAGTTTGCCATCCGCTCATAGAATACTGGAGAGATTAGAGTTAAGGTTGTTACCATAATTTTCTGTGTTTTTCGGTACGTTTTTTAATAGACTTCATTTTGTGAAGAATACGAAGCATACGAAAAGAGCATTGTGGAAAAGCATGCTAGTTAATCGCATGCCAGTTTATTTTCCTATGTTAAATTAGCAAGTGTGAAGTTGCTTGTTTTGTTTTGCTACTTTTTTGAGATTGTGTTTACGATGGCTTCAAGTTACAGAATACAGATTGATTCACACATATATAGTTTCAGAATCCGATACTGAATATCGATTAGAATCGATTTTGTAAAATAAGATATTACCCACCGCTACCACCTAAACAGGCGATCAGGCAGTAAAAATAATTCATAAGAATTTAATCTCGGTTATTTTAATAATCCTAAAAGTAGTCTTGTTAAGCTCCTTAAGAGGGCGCGTTTACAAAAAAAAACAATTTAATTTATAGAGTTAACCGCATGTCAAACTAAACAAAACTGTCAAATCTTCTATACATATTGTGTAGAGGTCAAAATCCCTTGCAGTAATATGGCATATTGTAGTAACCAGATGTGCAGCCGTATGTACCAAGAAAAATAATAAACTACATGGTATTTGTATAAAAAGGAATGTATCATAAATGTATGTTTCACAACCCTAATATCAATTTAGGATTGAAATTAAGTCCATCTCATTGCAGGCGCAATAAGATAAATAAATAAACAGGTACTTTCTTTCTTCAAGACCTAAAATCGTATCTTAAAAAAAATCAAACAATTTCTCAAATTTGACTCATTTAATGGAATAAAATAAAATCTATCTTAAGCCAGTGAATGAAATAACTAATTTAGATGGCTCTATCCTAACGGCATCATTGCATACCTTACATCATACATTATTTTTTTCAATAAATAAACAATTTCTTCTCGATTACTTAAGAATCCCAATGCAGTCACACAATTTTCCACAAACTGTCAATGGCTCAATATTAATTACATTACATTTATTGAAAATTGTCAACATTAACAATCAGGTACACAATAAAAAAAATACAAATAAATCGCTTCAACACATGTGTTAGAATTTTAGACAATAATTATACATTATTAACTTGTATGTGCCATTTTATACTTAATTCACTCCAAATATTTCCTATATATAATTATTTAAATTACCTATATTTAAAAAACTTACAATACTGCTTATTTCTGATAGTACCAAGGTGATTGGTAGGGACTTCTGTAATAATCATTTGTGGTCATCTGGTTGAACATCATGGGAGTATCTTGGTACATATTGTGTTGCTCATAGAAATTTGTTTGATCCCTCCATGTTCTTTCAGTTTCTTGTACACGAGGTTCTACAGGGTTCTGAGTAGGGTAAGTCCTATAATCCAAGGGTGTGTTGAGGAATATACTATCGTTATACTGACCCACTGGCATAGACCAGTCCTGGGCTGTGTTAGTTGCAACTTTCGGTGGTGATTCTGGTTCAACAGGCTCAACAATCACTTTCTCGTTTACTTTCGACTTCTTTTTAGTGTAATGTTTGAGCTGTGTCGTTGGCAATATACTTTTAGTTGTTGACATGAACTTGTGGAATTCTCCTTGGAAAGCACTTGGATTTTTGTTTATCGGTGGTACTATAGCAGGAACCCTCAAGTTGGAGTCTAGTAAGAGACTAGTATATGGCTTGGATGACTCCGGTTTCTGTGTTTGTGATGCTTTCAGTGGATGGATGGTTTTGGATGAAGAGTAATCAGTTGATAGAGTTTTTAAAGTTGTTGAATATGGTGTAGAGTATGGAGACATAGAGTATGGGTTTGTTGACGTAACAGTAGATGAGACTTCTTTTTGTCTGTTAGTGTTGTAGTTACTGTAATTGTCATAGTCAATTTTCAGTACGGGCTCTATGGGTGTCTTGTATGCAAAATCTGGATGCTTCTTAGGAGAACGAGGTTTTCTTGGTTTCTTCACTTTAACCTCACCTTCTTTCTTCTCTTTTGGTGGTTTAGGGGGTTTTGATTCTTTTGGTGCTTTTGGAGGTTTAGGTTCTTTTGGGAGCTTAGGAGGTTTGGGTTCCTTAGGAGGCTTAGGTTCTTTTGGAGGCTTAGGAAGTTTTGGTTCTTTAGGAGGTTTAGGTTCTTTTGGGGGCTTAGGAGGTTTAGGTTCTTTAGGAGGCTTTGGTGTTTTTGGTTCCTTCTTAACTCTTTCCTTCTTCACTTTCTCTTTCTTCGGTTTGTCTGTTTTCTCTGTATCAGATTTTCGTTTTTTTGGCTCGTTTTTAATTTCCTTAGTGTCCTGTTCAGTAACCAACTGATTGATGGGTTCGACCAATGGCTCTGTGGTTTCTGTTGATGGTTGTAGTGGGTCATTTGTTTCAGTCTTTTCTATTGTGTTTGGACTCATTTCTTCAACATGAGGAGGCGATTCCCAATTTGATACTAATGCAGCCATATCTTCAAGTTGATCCTCAGACAATTTCTTTGTCTTAATAACTTTTTTGATTTTACCTTCCTCAGTTTTAGATTTACTTTTCCCTTCTTTTTTAACACTTTCTCTCTTCCTTTTAGTCATCTTTATCATTTTTTTAGTCTTTGGCTCTTCATAATCAGAATCTCTATCAGAGTCAATGTATCCAACATCAGGAAGCTGAGCTTCAGAGGGATCCATTTCATCACCTTTCAACCAAATGTCTTCTAAAGCATCTAGCTGTGTAACATCAGGCTCAGGCATATGCGGTCGTTTCATTGAAGTCATCATATCTAAATCTCCTTCCGCCATAGTCATTTCATCGTCATCCATAACATCATGACCCAAAATTGATACAGCAATTGCTCCTTCTGATATACTTTTACTAGCCATAGCCCTCTTCAAATGTAATGGATGGCGCTTTTTCTTTTTTGAATTCTCAACTTCAGCTTCAATAAACGATTCAGGCAGTTCTGTATTATTTTTATTGCACAAAATGTCCTGTCCAGAAGGATGCGGTGCAGGTACCATTTTCTCTGGTTGCTCTGGATGACATCCTATATCTTGGCCTTTCAACCATAATTCGTAGCGATCAGGCTGGAATCGTTTCACAAATGTATCCATTGAAATTTTCACCATGTCATTACTGCATGTGCACTGAGTGGCTCGTTTACCATATTCAACCCATCTTGGTGCTGCAAAGTTTGTTGATTCTGCACAATTAAAGCCATGGTTGAAGCCAGCATGGTAACCGTATGGAAATGTGATCATAATCTCCCCAGCTTCCTGTGTTATTTTATTGACAGGTACCGAATACTGTTTTAAGATTTGTGGTGAAATTAGTGTCATTTTGTGTCTTAAAAATGCTTGACATGTTTTGGCCGAAGTAGGAAAAAATCCAGAGGCAATTCTCTCAAATCTCTTGCCATGTTCTGGAGGTATTGCATACCAAGTCTTCGGTTCACCAAAGTGCAAATAGTTTATAGAATATAGATCCATATCTTCAGTGTGCCAAGCAAATGTTGTTTTCCACATACCAAAATATAAATATGCAGTGTTAACACCATCAATCTCTATTCCATAATCTGAGTTCACGAAGTCTAGAATAGTGCCCAAATGATTTATGTTCCATTCTTTTACGTCAGGGTCTGTTATGCTCCCGTTCACGTCAGCTCCATAAATTGGTGCAACATAAGTCACATTTTTCCAATATTTCCTTTCCAAATCATCGTAACTTGTGTGACGAGGAGTACAGTACTTAGCGGAGTTCGCAAGTACAGCGAATTGTTTCACAGTCATTGATTTCTTCTGAATATTGATTTGTTGAAATAAACCTTGTTTGCCAGTGACTACTTGGCATATAGGCGATGGTATTGTCACGTTGAGCTCCTCCAGGTTGTATCCAGATTTACGGGGCACCCATTCAGGCGGTGGTATCACTTTCGCGAGCCCTGCCTTGTGAGCACCTTTCGATTCCATATACTGAATGTATTTATTGAAATCCTTGAACTCATCCCATGTTGGACGAAACACTTGAATCGCCACACCACCAGCAGAGACTCCGACATCATCCACGGGCACTGACATTGTCTAAAAAATCACACGCGAGGAATTCCAAAAATCAACACAGTTTCATCACTCACAGGATAGTCACTCGGTAATAATACTTTATACGATAATTAACTACTTCAGACGCCATTCATATAATTCTACTAAATATCGAACACAGTTTTTATGTCAACTTGAATTATACGTTATTTTACTTTCGTAATAATGTGAAAACATTATCAGTAAGAAAATGGCCGACTTGAATGAGATGCGTTCGCTTGCTTGCAACAAATCTCTTCACAAATCGAAAAACACTCGAAGCTACATATACAGAATTAGGTCACGTACACACCAAAATCATTGGAGACAATTGGGCAAATAATTTTGTTCACCCTACGAAGCTTCAACTAACGAGCAACACCGTCCTAGCTCTATTTCGAATGTTGGTATTCAACACTTTTGACAGTTGTCAATTGATTTTCTATTGAGGTTATGTATTTTGTTTTCTTTTGAAAATTACAATAATAAACAATATATATAAAAAATAATCTCACCTGAAAAGATTCTTCAAATTCTTCGACTAAATTACCACTTCCGTTTGATGGAGTCGCCATGTTTTTACTGAAAACACGCAAATTCTAGTTTCACTGATTTTTACCACCGAGAAAAGAGATGACAGCTAACTTCAGATGCGCGTTCTCTCGCCGCTTGCTACCGGCTTTGTTTGGAAATAAAGCGAAGCATGTCGTTCATTCGTGTAGTCAAATCATTTTACACCTCATTCTTTCAATCAATAGTCAAGGCTACCACCATTTACAAGTTAAATTAGTACTAAACTGAAAAGTCGACCCTTAGTGTCCTAGTACATGTACTTGTAAAAGTCAAAGTTATTTTTAGCATTATGCACTCTTATTTAACAAGATTAGCAAGTCTTGATTTTATTTTAACCTTATAATGATTTCGATGGAAGTAAATTTATAAATCCATCTACCTATTTAATTATGCAAAAATTACTAAAGTGATTTTGGTGAAACTTAGCTGACAGATAGTTCATGGTTAGAATTAATAATAGGTACCCTTACTATATTCAAACGAAGACATGGGCAGAAACTACTAGTGAGCAAGTGACAAATTCCAGTTTAATAACTATACATAGAAAACAGCGTCTGTATTTGCCATCGGTTTATCAAACAGAAATACGAAACATGAGTGAACGAAGGTTGAATGAGTCATCATTGTTTACTACTTCCACGTGTTCGTTGCCGTATTTGTGTTTGTATGTTGTCAGTTTTGTGTAACTGTCAAAACCAGCTGATAGATTATACGTCAAACCAATGACGCACTTGCATGTTGAATGGATGATGTCAACGCGATGATCTCCTGTAGATCATTGAACTTTGATACTTTTAATTTTATTCTTGATCTTACATAGCGTACATGCTTTTCCTAAGGTGCCTCCGCTAAAACACGTTGAAATATCGCCTTTACTAAGACTACACTTAATAAAAAGGAGGCCTTTTAAAAATATGAACAGCATGATTTCTCTCACTAGCTTTGATCGTTCGTCGAATATAGTTTTCATTTCAGCTACGCTGCTATTTTATTTATTTTAAGGCTGGGCGTAAGGACAAACGAGAAATGGAGATGAATTCTATCAATGACAGGTCAAGTTTATTTTAAATTACTCGCAAACCATTATGGTGATAGTAAATTTGCTAAGTAAAGATCTCGACTTTCAAAGTGAATCACATCTATAAATATTTCTTATAATAAAATAGTATAGTCCTAAAAGTATTTGATGAAATATATCGACGCTGGAAAGCAAACACGTAGTAACCCGCAAAACCAAAATGGATATTCATAATATTTTTCAAAAAAAAAAAAATCTCATTTCCGTATAAATTGACTAAGGACACCTTATTTATTACCATGGACGTTTATAGGAATTATTTATCGAAAAAAAAAAGTTTTTCTGCTCTGAAGAACAATTTTGGTTTTGCGGGTTGTGTGTTGGGTTTGCTTTCCAGCGATGATATGCGCCCTCTTAAACACGCGTTTCAAGTGTGCGGTCTGTCAATGTCAAATCATATTACTTGTTAACATATTAAATGTTAATATCAAAAATATTTCAGCTTATTATATGATTAGGAATGATGAACCCTTATTTAATATTTAAGATGATTAAAGTTAATCAAATTATAATGTGTTCTAAGCGTATAGATGTCCGCGTTACATACATACATACGTTTGTTCCTAAAGAACCTTGCGTAGATAATTAAGATCGCGAGCGATCGTGTTTTGGGTATTAATAATAAATAAATGGTTACATTATTACACTATCCATATATATAAGTAAACATAGATAACTACTGTAATGATATTGAGAATGAAGAATAAAATAGCTACAAGTTAGATGTTTTTATAAATATCTACAAATACGCCTTTTTGACCGACTTAAAAATGTACACTATCTCTCCATATTCACATCGACCCCATTATATATTTCTTTTAACACAATTAATGAATTTTATAGGATATACCTGTTATAACAAATTACAAAATTTCTCAGTTTGTAAAGAGTCACGTTACATTTATTTGGGATTTTAAATATTTTGAATATCTATCAGTATATCACAATCGTATACTATAGGTCCTCAACTTTGTTTATACAATAAAAATTAAAAAGACGTAAATATATACCATATTTGAGTCTGTTCATATTATAAAAAAAATATGACCAGACGTCCCGGATCTCTGGCCATTCTTTTTTTGTGATAGTGTGGTCTGATGACCGTGATGGTAAATCCAGGATGCAAAAGGCAGCAAGATTTTGTTACATGTTCACTGTTGTTAGCCTTCGAAATGATAAAAAGGGAAAGACATACATGTATATATTATATACATACATATACATATATAAATTCATTATTTTCCCTTTACTTTGGTTATTATTTGAAACCTTATTTAAACCGATAGCAATTTTCAGTTTAACTTATAGTTATCCTTCATAAATTTTTAGTTATCCTTCTCCTGCAAAATATGCTTAATAACCGTACACCAGACTGACAGCGCTAACCACTGCGCCAATGAGTTACTCATATATCTAGATAGATATGAAGAGACTAAGATTAGTCTATCAGTGTATATCATATTATATTATATTATAATATAGTTTACGTTTGCATTGTTTTGTTTACCCATTTATGTTCTAAGCTTCAGTAAATGTGTTCGATTATGTAAAGTAAAACTATTTCGTTAACACACACATAGTACAAATAATGTTACCTACAATAACCTATTTTTTACAGAGCAGCCAATATAAAGAAACCGAAAAGTATAATCATACATAGAGAATATTGTTTAGCTTGTAGACAAAATCGATTAAATGGCATAGAGTAGAGAATTTCATAATGGCGTCGGCGCAATAACATAACCTCGCCGCTTCGCCAAACCTACTTGGTTTTTGCAATTTTTTACAAAATAATTGTGAATATAAAACTTTCTTAGTGACAAATTGTGTATGTGTGTTTTATAAAATTAAATAGAACGTCAGGATGGCGGACGCGGCTGCCAGGCAGTTGCAATACGAATATAAAGCCGTAAGTCTTTATTTTATTAAAGATATTGATCCACTACCATTTTGATACTCCAAGACCAAGTCCTAAAGTCAAAGAACGCTCATTTTATATCAAGATTAAATGAAACAACATAGTTTAATAGGACCTAACCCATTTTCACACAGAACTCCAATCTCGTTCTCCAAGCTGATGTAAGACTTATAGAACGACGTGGTCGTGATGAGGCGACAGGAGAAGTTCTCTCTTTATCTGGAAAACTTACCGGAACCAGAATGGGTGACCGTGCTCAACGCACAAAACCTGACAAAGCGGAAGAAAGAAAAGCAAAGTAAGTTGGCACAGAATTTAATTCATTTTCTATTATGAAACCGAATGAACCATTGTATTGTTCATGTCATCCATCAACTGATTTACGAGTTTTGCATGTAAATATATGGACTACTTAATATTAATATAATTATTACCTTTATGATAAAAAGACCTCAATAACAACCTAATCATGTAATCAAAATATTTGACATCTTAATTTCAACCTCAGAACAATGTAAATTTTGTTGTGCAAGTCACCAAATAATCCAGTTTAATGATCTTAATTTTCGCCAATTAAAAACTTTAATTAATTTCTTCAGTGTTCCAATATTTTTCAGTTTTTCTTATGAAATCAATTTTTGATGCAATTTGATTGCTGAAGCTTTTTATGTTTTTTTAATTACTCATATTTTGAGGTATTAATAGAGCATGGCGTGCACATTTTCATATGTTTCATGCTAGTTGCACAGAACTAAGGTGGTATACAGTGACAACGTATCACATTATAGATTTGTTCCGTTTTAAAAATAATATATAAACTACAGTGATTACTAATCCATTAGTAAAACTCAAATGTTTTCTTATTATTACATAATATTATGTAATTTATGTTACTTGCTTTAGCTAGATATGTTTTTTTTTTCCTCTCTAATAATATGAATTCTAAAATAATATACAGTAGAAGCTCACCTTATTCATGGGGGATATGTTCCTTAAATATGTCACAAATACAGAAAACATGAGAATGAATGGCATTTAGTGTAGAATTATAAAAAACATATGTTTTTCAAGGTTCCAAAATAAAAGCAATAAGTATGTTAAAATAAATACAATTGAGGTAAGATTATTAAGGAACTACCAATTACAATCAATCTTTGCTGTCAACTTAAGAAAGGGTGTTTGAAGATTTTATTAATTTTCCTTTCTTACAGTTTTTAAAGGTCTTTAAACTCAGATTCATAACTAAGTAGCTGTAGCAGTCATAGTATAGTTTTATTAAAGTATTTTATGAATGCTACAACAAAGCACAAAATAATAAGGCATTATATAAGCCACCTTGTAATAGGCCTGGAGTGTTTCTGAATCTCTTTATGTTACCAATTGCATGCACAAATAAACAGATTTCAGCTCTGTGTACAAAAATTGGGTCTCAATTTTTTCACATGTGCATAATGAAAATGCATAGGATAAGCATAGCAGTGGGTGGGATACATAGCTAGAACAACCGATGCCCATTGGGGTGGAAAGGTTCTGAAATGGTGACCACATACCTGACGACGCTCAGTGCTCCCCACCAGGTGGGCCGATGATCTTATAAAGGTTGCGAGAGAGCTGCTGGATGCAAGCAGTATTTGACAGATTATCATGGAGGTCAATGGGGGAGGCTTATGCTCAGCAGTGGGTGTCGTACAGCTGTTGATGATGATGATGTGGTTGCGATTGCTGCAATAGCAATAAGGCCTCCGTTTGTATACTGTCTGTGGACAACAGACACTGGCCATCGGCCTTTGTAAATAGTTTTTATATGTTCTTTTTAATTTGTATTTTGTAGCATTTTGTTCTTTTAGTAGGATATTGTGAATAAATAAATTATATCCAAACCAAGGCTTTCTTACTAACATAGACGCTGGAAAGCAAACACGTAGTAACCTGCAAAACGAAATTGGATATTTAGAATGGAAATCTTTATATTTTTCCAAGAAAAAATATCTTCTTTCCATATAAATTGACCAAGGAACACCTAATTTATTACCATGGACGTTTATAGGATTATTTATCGAAAAAAATTAAAGTTTTTCTGCTCTAAAGAACAATTTTAGTTTTGCGGGTTACTATGTGTTTGCTTTCCAGCGTCGAATCCAAAATTTTGCGAAATAAAGAATATTATTATTATTTTTCTCTATCGTCTCCACCATCAATATACAACATTTCAGACGTCAGAAACGCGACGAGGCATCGTATGAGCTGTCTAAATCAAAATCGGCGCGAGTCACTTGGGCCGACGACCCGCCGGGCGTCCTGTATAGACCACGGGCGCAACACACGAGGCACGCGTATGAGTTGCTACTGTCTTTCATGCAAAGCGCACTCGGTGACCAACCAAGGGATATATTGTGCGGAGCTTGCGATGAGGTTAGTGCATATTATCAACTACTAAACAAGCTGTTAAACTATAAAATTGCTCACTGAAGTTTTGGTAATAACCCGCACCTCATTTATTGATTTATTGGATGGTTTATGATTTGATGAATCTTTATGAAAGCCACTCAACTTGACCTTTGCCAAATATTGTGCTATTAATCTCGATAGTGCCTACTTTGCTGAAAACAGTAAAGGATGATATGGCACATTCATACTAATTATCAATCAAGGAAATATGGCGATTAATCTATACTATACTACGAGTATATTATAAAGAGAAATTATAGTTTGTTTGTACTGGATCAATTAAAAAAAAAACACATACGAGAAGCTGCAGTATATGCGGTTGACATGGGCTATTATTTAAGTTGGAAAAAAGCTAACGAAAAAAGCTAACGCAAAAAAATTATAAGAATAGATGAGTCAATAGCTGTGCCTAAGTTCTTTCTCTTTTGCACATAATAAGGTGATGTCAGAAGCCATAAAAAACCAGTATGTATGAAAAGAGTAATGAAAGTGGATGAGTATGTAAGGACCGTACATTGTGGCGTTCGGTCTCCTCTGCCTACCCTGCAAGGGACACGACGTGAAGGTATAGATAGATAGACATAATGTGTGAAGTATATTTTTATCTTTTTCTGCACATGGCCATTAAAAATATTAGATTTCGAAATATTTGTTTCAGGTTCTTGTTGTCCTCAAAAATGATAAACTTAAAGATCCAGAGAAGAAAAAAGAGATAGAATTATTGCTCGGGCCGGTCGCCGACGAGAGATTTGCACTTTTAGTTAATTTGGGTAAGTTAAAATGGTAAACGTTATATTGCTAGCAATATAACGGTTATTTATGCCGTTTTACCTGTACATATTAGGGGCCGTCCATAAATTACGTCACACAAAATTCATGATTTTTTTTAACCCCCCCCCCTCCTTTCACTTGTTTGTCTATATAAATTCTACTAAATATTGTTCTTATGTCAAAGTTCGTCGACCCCCCCCCCCCCTCCTAACGTGTGACGTAATTTATGGATAGCCCCTTAAGAATACTAAATTCCATAGTAAAATAGACATAATGTATTATGACAGTGTAATAATATTATAATTTTACTATTCTTAGGTAAGAAGATAACAGATTTTAACATAAGCTCATCTAATGAAGGCAATACAGAGATTGATGAAACTTATGGAATTAACGTCCAGTTTGAGGAGTCATCGGAAGAGGATGATGAAGATGCTTATGGGGAGGTGAAGTACTACTATTATTTTGAATAAAATATACAGGGTTATTTGTAAATCACCAGCAACCTCATAGGGCTAGATTTAGCTCTATATAGAGCTAGTATCATAAACAATAATATTTCATGTACAAGTTTTATTAACATAACTCAATATTTTGAACAAAAATGTATTTTTTTAAATATTTATTGTACTGTCGTGACATTTATTTAGCTTTCCGCCAGCGGCCTCGACCGCGTAGTCCCCAGGGAACTGTTCAGCGGGATAAAAAGAAGCCTATATGTTTATCCAGGCTTAGAATGATTGTAAACCAAATTGTATAAAAATCCGTTCAGTGGTTTTGCGTGAAGAAGTAATAAACATTCGCCTTTATAATATAAGTAAGTAAGATAAGATGTTCAGGTTATGAATGAAAGGACGAAGCTGGCGCACTGTGTCATATATTAATATTCGAGTTTAAAAAAATATATGTAGGATGTATTATTGTAACTTTCTATCGCCAGATTGTAGCACTAGAACATGTAGCAAACAATTTTTTATAAACTTCGAACTTCCTCGCACAGTAGTAGAACAAAAGTGAAAGTGAGTGAACATAATAGGAATATTTTTTTTTTGTATATAATTAGAGTGTAATTTTATTTAATAAATACATCTTTGCTGCAAAAATTTGAATGTAAGAAGGAAGTAATTAATTTCAAGACAAAGTAATATTCCGTGATATAAGATCTAATTCTTCAAGGTTGATGGTGTCTAACAAATAACCCTGTATATATAAAAGTACTATGGTAGTAAAATACGTACGAAGTTCAATTTGCTCATATGTGGTTTACACGAGATTTAACTTGTGAGCTTTAACTGCTATTAATTGTACCTATTTATTTATACTTTAGGTCCGCGAGGAGGACAAAGAAGAAGGGGAGGGTTCAGACAATGAAAAAGGCAGAGAGTCGAGTGGAGAAGAAGGCAGCGATGGAGAAGGCAGAAAGAATGCTATACACGCTAACGTGAGATAATCAAATTATAATAATAGAGTATTCTACTCTGTTTGAAATGTTACTTGCACTGTTTATATTAATTTAAAAAAGGCATAAAATAAATATTTCGGAAGAATAAACACGTCTTCTTGCCTTAAAATTAAATCAAAATTTAAACTTTTTTTTAAACCCGCGAAAAAGCTGTCTGTTATATTCATGACGTCATTGTGATATGTACACAAAAGAGATATTAATAGAAGATAAGAAGAGTAGAAGAAGATTGAAATAATAGATAAAATAGAGTAGAAGATTGCGCCATCTAGAAATTTATCTCAGACATGCAGTTACTTCTACATTATTTCTCGGTTATTAATGGACTATTTATTTATTACATAAAAAAAGTAGTCAACTAGTCTATTATTAACATGTTATTATTGTGATTGTCAGTTGTCAGAGGAACAGTCGCAAAAGAGACGCGATGCGACCCTCCATCCTATGGACATAGACGCGTACTGGCTGCAGAGGAGACTGTCCAGACACTTTCCTGACGCTATGGTGTCACAGGTACGATACAATATCTATATACATATATATAAAAGGGAAAGGTCACTCACTCACTCACTCATCACGAAATCTCATAAACTACAAGGTTCAAATTTTGCATATGGGTTCTTTTTAGGACGTAGGTGCTCACTAAGACGGGCTTTCACGAAATTCGATCCCTAAGGGGTAAATTAGGGGATGAAAGTTTTTACGGAATTTTCTCATTTCTGGACTTAATACTAGATTCGAATTCAAAAACTTGTAATTAATGTGTTTTTTCTTTGCTAAATTAAATTGGAGTTAAGTAAATTATGGTCAGCTGTCACACAAACAAAAAATAAACTAATGTGAATTTAATAAGGCTTTTCGAAATTCTTAGCTTATAATTAAAATACAAAGAAAAATGATCTTTCTTTTAATGTGAATTGAGTCTAAAATGCTATTAAACGCACAAGTGCATAAACCAGAGAGTAAAATAACTAAAAAACAATATACCATAAACAAACATGGCAGTGGCAGTGGGTGATTACTTTATCGCAGTTTAAGTTTATCGAATTTTCAATTTCACATGCGATAATTCTTCGTTATACTAAAGTTCAGTAAATACATAGAAATGCTTAAAGGTTAGGCACAGCAGTTTAAAGTTAAAACACCGGAATTTTTAACGCGCTCGTCGTGACGTCAACGTACACGACTAGAGATATGACATTTTAAATCGATATGGATTTTGAGTGATTGATTATTATTTAAGTACCCAAATCGATTAGCAACTCATCAATTTTTTAAAGTGTAATAGTCGTTTTTAATAAATCATATAATTTACCAAATTGGTGAAATAAAAATAAAAGCCTAAAACATCATTTAAATTGTAATCAGTTGTTTATTTTGCGATATAATACATTGATGTTATTGCATCGATGTTAACTTTTTGTAACAACGACATCCCTATACGTGTACATTTTCGACACATCCGCATTAAATATTTTGAAGTTACCGCATTTATTTTGCACTTTTTAATAATTATTTTCAAGACGATAACGAACTAATTTAGAAAAATATTTAGATAGCCTTTATTTTATTTTTTTTAATTTATTCGGTACACAAACAGAAGTAGAATTACATCAATAAATAAGTCATCACGTAACAATGCAGCATCTCAAGTTGCACTTCCAATGACATGTGTACACAATGAGACAAAATCAAGGCAAACATAATTTTGAGTGGGTTTAAAATTCATGCAAAATCAAAAAAAAATTTAAGAAAATGATTAGCTTTCATAATTTCATAATGAAGTGAATATATATATATATAAACAAAACCTCTGATCAATAAATAATAATAATAACTCCAAAAAGATAATACAAAAAAAAACAATAAATTAAACAATAAAATACAATATCTATCCCATTTTTAATTTACATATTCCATTCCTAAAAACGTTTAAAGACGAACTGTAGATGTCAGGTACTGCTAAATTATCGATTATTTTTATGAAGTTCATTAAAGTAACGGCATATTCTATGTATTAGATTGTTAAATGACAAATTTTTTTCTAAAGCAATAAAGATTGTAATAATATTTATTTAACCCCATTTTTGAATCAGACGCATATTCCCTATTAGTATAACTGTGTATGAACAATGTTTTAGTACATAAGAGTAAAATTCCAATTTTCGTTTTATGATTATAAATACATTTTCTAATAGGGACGTATAAGGGATGTATTCATTTTTTTAAGTACACAGTTGCATGGCAACTTTCCACAATATGTCAAATTTCTGCAATGGATTTAGACCTCTATTTTTAATGTATCAAGGCTTAAAATCGCGTGAGGTAATTTGTCATTTTTGTATAGTCCCACTTGCAGTTGACTGTATATATTAATCATTTGTTACAGGGCAAATCCAGTGAAGTGTTACGGGCACTGTCCGAAGCAGCGGACGAACGAGACCTGGAGAACAGACTAGTGTTGTTGCTCGGCTATGACTGCTTCAGTTTTGTGAAACTACTCAATAAGTACAGATACATGAGTGAGTATATTATATGTACTCGTATTAACATTGATATTATAATACTAATTAAATGGGGGCTAACGCGTTTGAATTTGCCACTAGAGGCGCTAGTGTACAGTGAGGCCTTCTAAATGTCAAATATTATACTTTGCGTAAACTACGCGCGTTGCTTTTAAAATAAACGAATTTTGCGCTTATTTCGGGATACCTGACATTAATTAAAGCAATGAGGAAGTATTAAAAAAAAAAACATTAGTTCCCAAAATTAAACTAGATGTCGCGTAGTGTAGGTGCTTTTTTAGTGCTTTCGTTTATTTTTTGAATACTTCCTCATTATGAATTACGAGTGAATGAATGAATGAATTTCATTGCTTTAAAAACCGAGCTAAGAGGTCAGCTAAATCAGAGATTAATTATTTAATTATGTACAATTTTGTATGCTTTAATTTCGATATCATAGTAAATAAACTTTGACAGGACCTCAATGTCATAACTTTGTAGAAAATGCAAAAAAGTATGACGTCATGTGACATTTCAACTCAATGTATCGACTTAATTTTGTTGATTACGCAAAAAATCAATAATATACCTGACGTATTAGATGTTGCTTTTAATATCCTGTTTTAAAATTGCTGTCATGATCTCGATAGAAAATACTTAGATTAGTCAGGGTATACTTTATCTATACTAATATTATAAAGGCGAAAACTTTGTTTGTTTGTAATGAATAAGGCTCAAAAACTACTGGACCGATGTTAAAAATTCTTTCACAATTCGAAAGCTACATTATCCACGAGTAACATAGGCTATATTTTATTTTGGAAAAAATAGGGTTCCGTAACATATTTGGTACAAGGTGTAAAAAATCAACCAGAAAGTTACTTATTTCACGTACGCTGCCTAAACTATAAAAGATAGAACCATAAAATGTCTTAATTAATTATAGATCTTATAGATATCTACAAAAAAGTCCGCGACACACTATACCTATCTATGTCGAGTGAGGCACAACAACCATATTTTATTAAAAAAAATTTTTTTTTTTGGATTACATTTAAACGCGTTTGTTTTACTCATGCTATTAATCCTTATCAAAATAAATTATTTCATCACACTTTATTTAGATAATATTTGGTCTTTGAATGATTAAAATTGGACGTTTGGCTTTGAAGTTATAGCGAAATTATAATATTACGATTTCTGCTGCACGGCCCCTTGAGAAGTGGACGTCACCAAGGCGGAGAAGAGTTTAAATCTATGAGTAAGATACCAGCGGACGGCGCGGGCGAAGACGCAGGCGGAGAGCTACTATTTAAATCGAGCGAAGAAATCTGACAGATTTGTAGTGTTCGTATACAAGTCTGTCATATTTCTCGACTTGATTTAAAACCTTACTGCGATGGTGTTAGAGTTTAAAACCTATTGCTAAAATATATAACCTTACGTGCTGCTTTACAACTGTTTATTTTAGTTTATATCCTGGCTGGGCCTCACACGGACTATCCTATAACTATTGTTATATCTATAATAATATTATAAAGCTGAAGAGCTTGTTTGTTTGTTTGAACGCGTTAATCTCAGGAACTACTGGTTCGAATTGAAAAAATCTTTTTGTGTTGAATAGACCATTTATCGAGGAAAGTTTATGCTATATAACATCACGCTGCAACTATTAGGAGCGAAGAAATAATGGCAAACGCGGACGAAGTCGCTGGCAGCCACTAGTTATTTATAAACAGGGTTCGTTATTATCAAGATGGATAGATAATTCTTTATTGTTAACATAAAAAATATTTTTCGGATAATTATCGAATAATCATCTGTAGTTATTTAAAACTTAATTTTTTAAATACAGAAAGGTATTTCTAATTGAAACTACTTTAATTTTTATTGTTTGAAATTAGATAAATTGCAAAGAAAAACCATATACAAAATCACATCGGAGAAAGAGTGAAAAAAAAAATAAACCACGCATTATCATCTAAAGTTAACCTGTATAAATGTAAAAAGTTTTATAATTTGATGTTTTTTTAAACACCTATCAAATTTATACGGTCACATCGCGCTTTCAGTAAATTTTGTTTAATCAAATTGCTGATAAATTGTGTCTTGTACCTGAAAATTCACGACTAAATTATGCGTCCAGCTCATTATATATATTTTCATAAAAATTGCAATTTGAGCCTACGTAATATCATAATATAATAAATAAAATAAAAAAAGACTCACTCTGTTGAATATGTTAATCTGGACATAACTCTTTTGAATAGTCATCAATTTTCATTGTCCATTTAGGATTCAGTTGTTTAATCTATACACAAATCTATGCGTGGTGGGGGGAGCGGGCATGTTTTTTTGTTTTTGAGAAAAACCATATTTGATAGTTGTTAAGAAATGATTCCCATTTAATAACAATTCCTAAGTATAATAAGAGTTTGTGTAATTTTATAATTAAGAAGATAATTATCAAAGTTTATTTAACATGATAATTATCAACCCGAATATTTATTATGAGTCTTATTATTATTGTATTGCGAACAGTTTTATATTGCACCAAGCTGGCTTCCTCTCAATCGGAGAGCGAACGTGCTTCTATAAGAGAGGAAATGTCTAAACAACCACACCTGCAGAAGATATTGGCTCAGCTGGAGACTGGCAAGGGAGACGACGAGGTATGAGTTTGTTTAAGACACATATCGCCAGTTGCACAAACGACCATTAATAATTTCATTAGTTTAAAGCGGCATTACCAAAACAAATTTGACGTTCATTAGAGCTTAAAGGCGTCATTAAACCTTAATGAACGTTGGTGCAACTGGCAGAAAGACACGCTTGCACACAGTTATAATTTTATTTGTGTTTTTACTGATTGATACTCCGTGTCGTTTGAAGAGTAAAGTCATACCATTAATTTGGGTAATTCATTTTCGACTTCTATGTAACTTCTTTGTGAAAAAACTAGATGCCTAAATTTTATTTTCTTTTTTTATCTTAAAACATAGTGTTTTAGGATAAAAAAAATAGCTGTCTACACTCTATTAATTGTAACATTAGAAAAAAGAGGGTCATAGAAGCATCAGTGCAGAACATTTTATTTTTAAGATAAAGTTCAAAAAATATTATTAGTTTTTTTGAAACTTTGAATGTTAGGTAGTCTGAAAAAGCTGGGCAATTTTCCATTTTTAACGATACCTCGGAGTTGAGACGAGGCCAGCATTTTATAAATTCATCTTTTACTCCCAAGTCAACATGGAACTAAAACTGAAACTATCTGTCTGTTGTTTTGATAAATTCTAATTGTAAGTGTAATTAGTTAGTAAAAGGTTGGGGCTAGGGGCTTAGAGCGTAATTTTTGTAGGCCACTCGGGCCTGGTCCATATTTAACAAAACGTAACAACAAAAATAAAACAATAAAAACTTAATCACGGAAAACGTCTAAACAACAAGAAAGGCAGTAGCATTCACAATGGATGAGAATCCCAGATTACGATTTTAACAATTATGAATAAATAATACTCTGACAAAATTAAAAAGCTGTACTGCCGAAACGTTTGGAGGGGTTAGGCAACGTTTTAATTTTGGCAGAGTTATAGTGACATGACAATCGCGCCGAAACTATCCAACCCTGCTTCTTTAGGTTCTTTACGATGAACACTTTTTATTGTAATAGTTAAATTAGTCATATACTCATAAATTTGTTTAATAGATAGCTTAAATGACAACATTTAAGTATAGAAGCTGGTATTTAAGTGAATATGTAGCAAATTAGCCGTCAGTCTTAAGAGTAACATGATTATTGATATTTTGTCACAAAGTATACCATAAATAAAACCTTATTTAACTTCTGTCTAATGCTATAATGAATGTAGTATACAGGGGTGGGTAACAATTTCTTGAACTTTAAACGCTTACTGTTGAAAATCCCATTGTAATAAAGCGTGCGATATTACTTTATGCGTACGGTAGACGGCGCAGCAGTCCGAAGCGCCCCGCAAGCGTCACAAGGCGGACGGGGACGGGGACGGGGACGGCGCGGGGGCGGGGGGGCAGTTGCCGGGGGCGCGGCGCGCGCTGCCGCTGGAGGAGCTCGTGTTCGCGGCCGGCGCCCACTTCATGGCCAACAAGCGGTGCCAGCTGCCGCCGGGCTCCTTCAGGAAGCAGAGGAAGGGTCAGGCATACACATACACTATGCGCCAGTACTCAGTGGATGAGTTAACTGTACTGACTGACTTTCACTATGGAAGTGACACTGAATGAGGAAATATTTAAAAAGAAATCATTAGTTCCCGAAATTTAACTAGATGTCGCCCCGGTAAGTTCTTGATTTCTCCACGACAACCTTTCCGGTTTTCTTTCATGTTTAAAAGTAAATTAGTTTTCAAAACTCAATAAACGATTCATATTCTATTTGTACTTTTTCGTATTTGTATTGATATATAAGTTTTTTAATATGTTAGTTAATAGAAACGAAAATGACTATCTTTGGTCCATTCGTTTCCTGCAAAAATCAACTTTTGCCAGAGTCGCCATCTAGGGGAGGTGCTTTTTTAGTGCTTTCGTTTTTTTTAAATACTTCCTCTTTCACAAAAAAAAATAACGTAGTAGAAAGTTGGTTGGTATAATTAACTCATCCATCTCACGAAATCCTGGCATATTATAATATACCATCTTATATATATTTATATATTTTTATTGCTAGAAACATGGTTACATTGGCATTAGTCTAAGGTACACTGGTCAGCATGTTTCGCTTAATGCAAAATATAAAAATATCAAAATTTTGGACATGAAAAATAACAAGCGCTGGATACGAGTATATTTGTCACTCAGATCTAAGTAGTTCAGTGGTTAGAGCAGTCGCTCGGATTGCGAAAGATGGTGGGTTCGAGGCCCTTCTGAGAGTGCCAGGGACAAAGTGGATTTTTAAACTATTTTTCATTATGAATGTTGAACTATAATTAGATTTAGTAGCTTCTAGATTAGCTCCGTAATATATTCAGGACTAATGCCCTGAACTGCGACCGCCTAATACTCTAGTATCAATGCTATGCTAGCTATGGCTGTCAAGCTAGCCATAGAATAGTATAGCTTAGCGATGTTATAATGATATTTCATTGCATATTGTGACGGGTTCGTTGCTTAGGTGTTGGTAGAAAATGAAACGGCTGACTAGACTTGATAAGTAGGTATATTTATGATGTAAATAAAAAAAAGCTTTTCTGGGTTTCCTTTTAAATATACATGATTTTTAAAACAGATTTCTTAAATATTCTTATATAATCTAATGTTATATACATACTGGTAGAAGAATTTTCACCAGCTGACAAATATAATAATTCATATAATTAGTAAAAATAAATTAAATTTTCAAAATTTTCCGTGAAAACGCCACTTCTGTCATGGCGTCGATATGACGTCACGGCACTTTAAAATGAATATTGTTCTATGTATATGTAAGTTTGAATTCTCTAAGTTCTGATAACATACGAAGTTCCAAACCGCTATTGGAACAAGCGTCTGATTTTGTTAATATTTTAGGTTATGAGGAAGTACACGTGCCCGCGTTGAAACCGAAGCCGTTTGAAGAGAACGAAACATTGATACCGATAGAGAAACTGCCCAAGTACGTGCAACCGGCCTTCGAGGGGTTCAAGACTCTGAACAGGATACAGGTCTGATTATTTGTTTACGCCTTCAGACTAGCTACAAATAACGTATATGTTTCATAATTTTGTAACCCTCTCAACGTCTTTGTTCACATCTAGCCACGTTTATGAGACTCGACCGTAGATTGTGGGGCAATATATTATAAAATTTTGCACTTTATTTAAATGAAATAGCAGTTTCCTATATTGGTTTCGTTTTCATTTAAATATTTTTTTTATATAAAATGAATATTGAAACATATAATTGAAAAAACATTAATATGGAATTCAATCTCTCTACTCTTTGTCACACAATGTCCAACTTCGTTGTTCACCTCTCCCCTCCCCCCTCCCCCTCTCTAAGTTTTGACGTTAACTGATTTTTCCTGCTTCGCCTTATAAGGCCGGTTTCTGAACTGAGAAAAGTACAAAATCTCAACTGAATATTCTCAACAACTTGAGTGTTTTTACGTTTCAAAAGGCTAAAAGTCCTAATTATATCAACTAATCATTTAAAAAATTGAATTCAGAAATGAAAGCATGTTTAAGTGATACTTAAGTACAGTTTGAGACATTCTTAACTTTAAATTCTCAATTCAGAAACCCGGTGTTTGTCTATTCAACAGCTTTCATTATATAAGGCCGATTATCTTCTTACTTTCTTTCTAATATCGAATAATTAAACGAGACTTTAGTGGTGTATTTAAATATCGGGTAAAATGAAAATGTTTATCTGCTTTACAATAATCTGTCATTTTGTAATTATTACACCAACATCAAGTATTATCGTTAGGTAAAAAAAAAATATATAAAATATTATCGTTCAGTCAGATCATAATAAAAAAAATGTCCATCTTAATTTGAACCTTATCGTTGTTATTATAGAGTCGAATATCAAAAGCCGCTCTAGAATCTGACGAGAATCTGCTAGTGTGCGCCCCGACCGGTGCGGGTAAGACTAACGTGGCCCTGCTCACTATAATGAGGGAGGTGGGCAAACATGTCAACGACGACGGCACCGTCAACGTGAACGACTTCAAGATGATATACGTGGCGCCGATGCGGTCGCTAGTACAGGAGATGGTGAGATTTTATATTATACTAGACCAGAGGTTCCCAAACAATTTTTTCTTGTAGACCATTTTTTAAAAATCCTGTTTTCGGTGGACCCCCTGCTGCTACATTTTTGCCATATTCCCAAAATTCGTCCAAAATGTGAAGTTCTAACGATGGAAATTGGCGCCGCGGGCGAGTTCCTTAGACCCCCGTTGAATCCCTCGTGGACCCCTGTGGGTTCACCTGGACCACTTAGGGAATCACTGTACTAGACGTTATTCGAGCCTATATCACCCGCGTGTAATGTAGCTTCCCGTAGAAATAAGAATTCATAAAATCTGTGCATTAGAAGCCTATTCAATGAAGCAAACAAATAATTAAATCTTTTCGTGTTCATAATATATACAGGGTGCTGGCAAATTAAGTACACACATTTTTACTACTTTTAAGAAAATTTTATGTAAGTGTCGTAACTTCTCTTAGAGCTGATGAGTTGCTTGGTTCTTCTTGTCAGTTGAAAGACATCTTAAGGTCGTATTAGACGGTTAAGAGTCTATAATATTATATTTTAAGAAAAAATACATTCGCCATACATTCGAATGGAATACCTTTGAACACACACGGCTAAGATAATATAATATTTGCATATTAATTAAGAATCTTAAGATGCCAAGCGATAAGGAATTATATATTTCCTAGGTTATCTTATGATATAGTAATCTATATATATAAAAATGAATCCCCGTTTCCCTTACTCACGCTATCACACGTGAATGGTTGAACAGATTTCGCTAATTCTTTTTACCATATAAAATTATTTCTAATCTAGTGCTTTAAACGGGTGTTAGGGTAAGCTTAATTAAACAAAGAGTAAATTTAATCAATTCATTTGTCTTTTAACAGGTGGGTAGTTTCAGTAAGCGTCTGTCCGCTTACAACATGAAAGTGTCAGAGTTGACCGGTGATCATCAGCTGACCAGAGAACAGATAGACGCTACACAACTGATAGTGTGCACCCCGGAGAAGTGGGATATCATCACCAGGAAAGGTGAGTCATACATATTTTACACTATAGACTTTATTCAATAGTTTTCTCTACCTTCATTGTATAATATTAATGAATATATCTGACAAAGGTCTTCCAATTCCGCATCCTGTGTTCAATCTCGGTATTTGCGGGACTAGGAATTTTCAATACCCGATTTTAAAAATATAGCTTTTGGTCCCTAGGGAAATGTTTAGTGAAATAAAAAGTATCCTAGTATATGAGTCTGCGTATACCCTATCCGTATACCAAGTCTCATTAAAATCCGGACAAACATCCAAACTTTCAAATTTATATATAATATTAATAGAATTCATATTTATATAAGGGAAATAAAATTAAGTTTTAATAAATGTAACACCAAATTCATTTAAATTTCACTATTAGCATGAGATCAATCAAATTAGATATATTATTTGTTAATTAAGACTGAAATAAATATTTCAAAAATAAAAAATCTTTCAACTATTAAACAGTGATATTCTTAATGAAAAATGCTTAAAAATTAGTAATATGAATCAGAAACATTTTTATCTGAATGTTGACCAAAGTAAATATGATTTTATTTATTTAGTGTGCATGTCTCTCTACAGTCTCGAAAATCCCGCGGATCCCCCGTATGTAATCCCGCAACACGGGATTGTATAAAAGATGCGAAATCCCACAACACCGAAGACTCGATGTTACTAGATTGGCCCTAACCTGTCAGGCTTACTTAAATAAATCAGAAAGGTTTTTGTAAACTATGAAAAATCGGAGTAAACCCTTTGATAACCGTGGGCGTGTCTTGATTTTGAGTTTGAACAGGGGCGGAGACAATTTTTTTTAATATATTCATTTCATAGATATACATGAAATAATCTTAAAAAATATATTAAAAGAAGTACCATTCATATATAAATTAAAGTGTAAAATAAATGTCGTTTTCAAAATTTCCCTCGAAAACGCCACTTTTGTCATGGCGTAGCTATGACGTCACGGCACTCTGAAACCAATGTCGTTCTATGTATACATATTGTTGAATTCTCTCAATTCTGATATGAGTAAGTAGTGCGTGACGTCACGCGCTGTTTACGGTCACGTGACAACGAGTATAAAATATTAATTTAAGCAATTATTATAAATATAATAAGCATAAAAGTGTTATTATCGGTAGTATAATACTCGCAAATTCCTAATGCGCCTGGTCGCCATTTTAATGACGTAATCGCGTTCAAAAATCAGTACCGTTAACAAATAAGACACTGGTTGACGCGTAAACTCATTATTTTTGTTATGTTTCTGTTGTTATTGTTAAGTTTTGTTGTTACTTGTTATGGTAGACTAACACAGCACCCGCTACTATGATTTTCACAATAAGTAAACATAATTTCACTAATTATAACTATATCTAATGTCTCTCTTTTCATTATCACTTATGATTATGTTTTAAAAAATGTCCATCCCGTTTGTAATCGCGTCATTATAAAGTATAAGTTACTTTTTTTATATATTTTTTTTATATTCTCCACATACCTCAATATTTACATATAAATTTATTCTTTTTCAATGATTTATGCAATAAATTAAGAAACTAAAAGTTATTAAATTATTATAAAAATCCCTATTATATTTAAATAATTAATAATTAATTTATCTTTAGCTTTTGTGCTGTCTATACTTTCTATTATTCATATGACGTCACGCGAGTGTTATCTAGACAAGGTTCCAGCGCATTAGCAATTTACGGGACTTTATATTAAATACTACAAGAAAAAAAAATCATTTATTTTCGTTTACACCGGTATTTGTCTCGTGTATAAGGCGGCGAGCGTTCGTTCACAAACCTGGTGCGCCTGATCATCATCGACGAGGTCCACCTCCTGCACGACGAGCGCGGGCCCGTGCTCGAGGCGCTCGTCGCCAGGACCCTGAGGACCGTCGAGCAGACGCAGGAGCAGGTCAGTATGAACCTTTCGGCTCGGACGTGCTAGATTATTTCATAGTTCTGGGGAGGTTACTGTAATCTCTTATCGGAATGTTATATAACTATACGCAACAATAGGTGGTGTCCCGCTCGCTGCACGGTGAGGTCCCCAGATATGCATAATAGGGATGACGACTAGGTAAAAAAAATGTTCGTCAGTCAGATAATAAAAAAATACGTATCTAAGTATTTTTTTTACTTCAATTTTTTTTTTGTTATATGTTTTATTTTCCTTATTTATATCTTCTGCTCAATGAGGAAGTATAAAAAAAAAGAAATCACTTATAAAGCACCTCCGCTAGATGGCGACTCTAGCAAAAGTTGATTTTTGCCGAAAACGAACGGACAAAAGATAGTCATTTCCGTTCCTTTTAACTGACATATAAAAAAACTGAAATCTGCAAAGTTCGAAACTTAGATATCGATACAAATACGAAAAAGTACAAATAGAATATGAGTCGTTAATTGAGTTTTGAAAACTAATTTACTTTTATACATGAAAGAAAACCGGAAGGGTTCTCATGGAGAAATCAAGAAAGTACCGTAGCGACATCTAGTTTGATTTCGGGAACTAATGTATATTTTGTAAATCCTTCCTCATTGTGCACACTATCACATTTTATCTCCACATCACCGGTTGACTGGTAGAAAATGCCTAAGGCATTGACAGCTGTAAGTTTGTCGTTCTAGCTATTGTGAACAAGCTGAATAAGTAATATGTATGTGTAGGTGCGCCTGGTCGGTCTGTCCGCCACATTGCCCAACTACACGGATGTGGCGGCATTCCTGCGCGTGCGACCGGAACAGGGACTGTTCTACTTCGATAACTCATTCAGGTATTGTGTCTGTCTCGTCTGTCTGTATTACTGCACTTGTCAAATCAAATCATTTATTTGCAAATACAGGTAATACATAGAGATGATACACAATTAATGTCAAACTTATTCCGTATTTCACCACTTGGTGTGCAAAATTATTATTTAAATTATAATAAAAAAAATACATTTTAGTATTTAATAAAATGTATAATTACCAGAGGTCGGAATTAGGAAGAGTTATTTATGTACTTGCATCGAAATGTTGATATTAATGTGGACCTTCCCGGGATTACTAATGGACAATTTCTAATTCTTTGGACATCCGATGTCATTGATGTAAGTTTGGCAACGTCGTGCGTGCAGTAGTTTAAATTGTGTAAAAGTAAATAACTTTTTATTTAAAAAATCACGGGATTGTTTCTGCTCTTTAAAATTAATCTCGGGATTTGAGGCATATCCACTTTATTCATTCGCTGTATGAAATCAGTGTAAGTACATGAATAACTCTACCTAATTCCGACTACTGATAATTACAACTAGAAATTATAAAATGAAATTTTGAGATTTTAGCATGATTTTTATATGGAGATTATTTTTTTAAAATGCACAATGAAAGAAATCCTAATAATAGAAATTTGATGAAGTTTGTTCATTTTCCATTAAAACGGCTTATTTGGACATTGCTCGGTGGCGTAGTGAATAAGCGCCGCGGCTGACGATTGTAATTGTTAAGCAACTTCCGCATGGGTCGGACACGGGATGGGTGACCGAAAAATATTATCAGAAAGTTTTAATCATCCATCCTAAGACTGTCTTCTGTGAAAGTCACTTAACTTTTTCTCGCCTTAGTTATTAATATATGCTTATGTCGATACAGACCGGTGGCTTTGGAACAGCAGTACATAGGAGTGACAGAGAAGAAAGCACTCAAAAGGTTTCAAGTTATGAACGACATCGTTTATGAGAAGACCATGGAGCATGCAGGCAGAAATCAGGTAAAGATCAAATAACATATTTTTATAAATAAAGGGTCCATTGTTTATGATAGAACTTTTATGTCATAATATTGTTACACAGAATAGCGAATGGCATAAACTTCATTGAGCAGGAACTCGTTTAACATAATTTATATTATTACTAGCTTTTGCCCGCGACTTCGTCCGCGTGATATAGTTACTTTGGGCATCATATTTTCCAAAAACGCTGTTGTTTTTTGAGCTGATGATGAAATTACCTTGGAGTTGGGAGTTTATTGGCAACATACATCGTGACACAATTTTTTTTATATATATATAGATTAAGGCAAAATACAGTAGACAACTTTTTAACTTTAAATCTAAAAATAAATTTAAATTTTCAAAATTTCCCGCGTAAACTCAACTTCTGTTATAGTGTCCTTATGTCGTCACGCCTCTATTAAACTATATCGTACCCTGAATACATAAGGTGTAATTCTCTTAAGTTCTGATACGAGTAAGAGGGGCGTGACGTCACGCGCTCTTTGCGGACACTTGACAACGAGTATAAATTAGTTTTTAAAATAATTATAAATGTAATAATATAACACGGTAATAGTATGTTAAATATATACAATTTACAAAAAATAGATTATAGTACAGACCTTAAAATAAATGAATACTTTATTATATCTGTGCCCGATTAACGCAAATAGCATATATTCAAAACAAATAATTAAAATTCTTAATAAATGTTTTATACATAAATAATTGACAATTAGAACCATCAATTCGCAGAAATTTCCCAGACTGAATAATCTCTTGGTGTAAATTAATATTTTTAAAATAGTATAAAGTTAGATATATATTCAGTTGCACAAACGTCCATTAAGGTTTAATAACGCCTTTAAGCTCTAATGAATGTCGAATTTGTATGGGCAATGTCGCTTTAAACTAATGATAATTTTAATGGATGTTTGTGCAACTGGAGTAATGACTGCTTACTAGTTGATGACGCTTTTTATTTTGGTCGCAGTTATCGATGGTTCTGTTATTATGCTATGCATAACGAAATTATGCGAAAAGAATTTTTTGCCTTCTAAAATACTGTGCACACTCCGTTTTTGTAACACGCCACCGACGCACGTTCGTTTTGATACAGATACCGAAAATTATGCTTAATAATTTCTATGCATAATGAGTATTTGTCACAAGAATATTATATCAAGTCTGTTATGCCAAACAAGTTTCAGTACATCGACAATCTGCCAGATCAAAATGTCATCTTTGATCCGTGTCCCGGGCTCGATTTCCGGTCAATATAATAAACCTCGAATTGAAGACAAGCGAAATGCAACTAAAAAAGTTTCCTGGGTATGATTAAAAAGTCCTAGCAAACAACACAAGTCAAGACGCCAGTAAGTCTTGTTCTTAGTACTAAAGTATGGTTTCTGTTACTGGCAGATTCTGGTTTTCGTACATTCCAGAAAGGAAACAGGGAAGACAGCTCGCGCCATTAGGGACATGTGCCTGGAGAAGGACACGCTCGGACAGTTCCTGAGGTGAGTACTCGGGACGATGGGAATGTGTGTTAGCATTGGTAACATATAAGTAAACGATGAAGACAACTTAAAATATATAGTATTACTAGCTTTCGCCAGCGGCTTCGCCCGCGTAGACCCTAGGGAAATGTTAAGTGGGATAAAAAGTATCCTATTATCTAAGTCAGCTAATACCCTATTTCTATACCAAATTTCATCAAAATCCGTTCAGTAGTTTCGGCGTGATTGACCGACAAACATCCAAACAAAGAAACTTTCACATTTATAATATTAATAGGATATAAAAGCTCTTTCAATAATAATATAATAAAAATAGTATAAAGTTATTTAATAATTAGTACAGTTCATATGACACCCTGTATAAGGGTGTAGCAAATTCTATTTTAATTTCAAATAAACTAATAAAAGAAAAAAAAATGTACAGTTTCAGTTTTAAATTAATTAATAAAATTTCACATTTCCTTAAAACATATATTTTCGTTAATATGTATTACCTATTTATTATTTAAAAAATCGTCAATATTATAAAAGCATTTGTCAATTAGGTATGTTTTCAAATGTTCCGTAAATGGTTTTAGTTATTTTCCTTCCTTTATTTTGTTTGGTATGTTTTTATATATTTTGATTGTCATCCAATGGGGACTCGTCGTCATAATTTTTAATTTAGAAAATCCTAGCTTTGTTTTGTTTTGATCGCGGCAAAAACAATTATAGGTACGTGTAATAATGACGACTGGGTAAAAAAAAGAAATTCTGTTTAGTCAGTCAGTTAATAGAAAAATATTAGATACTTATTTTTTTATACTTCAATTTAACAAGAAATAGCTTAGATGACAGGCATTAAAGTTGAGGAGTGGTTGCTCGCTGCGTCACAGTTTTGTAGAAAATGTACCAAAGCGTGACGTTATGGGATATTTCAATGTTATTGATTACACAAAAAAAATAAGTAATCTACCTGATGGACAAACAATCGCAAGTTGGTTCTCATTCCAATTGTATTTTATTCTATATCTCACAATAATAGGGAAGGTTCAGCGAGTATGGAAGTGCTTCGCACTGAAGCGGAGCAGGTGAAGAATCCGGAACTGCGCGAACTGCTGCCGTACGGTTTTGCCATTCATCACGCCGGCATGAGCAGGGTGGACAGAACTCTAGTGGAGGATCTGTTCGCGGATAGGCATATACAGGTGAGGGTATAATGATAGTAAATCATCATTATAATATGATAACAAAGAAGGATATCTGAGCACGCACGCACGTACGGATTCACGCACGAACGCACGCATGCACGCACGCACGCACGCACGCACGCACGACCCATGCAAAAATAGTAAATTAATAGTTAATTTGTGTTTTTAGATATACAAGGTTATTTGTAATTAGACCGGATTCTTTTAAGGGGTCGTAGAGGAAATCGATTACAATTATTTTCACCCCACATTGCGATTGCGAGGACGGAGGAGTATGAAGTTTGGCAAACTTATAGTTTACATGTAGGAGAAGTGCGAACGGCTTATATTTTTCAATAATAATGCTTCTAAAGTAAATTATATCGATAAATAAAAGATTACACACACTACTATGCGTTTGACACACACAAACAAGTATTTGCTACACGCATACACGTACTCTGTGGTCGTACTGTTTCTTTTGAATATTGGCTTCGCACGGTTTGTGCATTGAGCTAGTGTCAAGTTTTATATCATACATATGAACATCTATTTGTATGTTTGTGATGTTTACTGTGGTCTTACTGAATGTCAAAAGATTTTCGATTTCAGTAATTTATGAAATATGAAAAATAAGTGATTTTGATTGATAAATACAATGCAATGTAATGTACAAATGTGCTATCACTTTAAATTTAAATAAAGTTCTGTAGCAGTAATCTAAATGAAAAAAACATGTTTAAATCTGTTATTGCTGGTTCAAAGATCTGGTTTGTATTTAGGAATAAAACAGCTTTGGCAGCATCTGTGGGCATAGTAGGTAGTAATATAGTCTTAGACAATTATGTTAAAAAAATTCTAATTGAAATTTATTAAGGTCGAATTTCGTCCAGTAGTCATTATTATTACTTATATATATTTTTAACACCTTTGCTGGTAAAGCTGATGTAATTCCACCGGTTTTAAATATGTAAAGCGGGTCATAAAAAACGCGTGTGTTACCAAAGCAAATTGTTTAGTTATAAATAAATAAAATCCATTTATAAATAAAAAAAATTCATTTATTTGGGACAAGTTATAGTCCACACAAATTCCATAACATAACAGTATTATTTGTCATTTCGCGCGCTGTTGCCATTCAAATTTCGAACTAATAGCCGCGCGGCGCCAGTCAGTAGGCAGCGCTAGTTAAAATGGCGGGAAAGCAACAGTGTACATTTACAGATTGAGTTTATTTAATGCTTTTTTTTCTGTTTCCTCGCAAATGTGTTAAAAAACGTCGTACGATATACATCATAACCAGAGGTCGGAATTAGGTAGAGTTATTTATGTACTTGCATCGAAATGTTGATATTAATGTGGACCTTCCCGGGATATCTTTATTTCTTCTTTCTTTCATTGATGTAAGTTTGGCAACGTCGTGCGTGCAGTAGTTTAAATTGTGTAAAAGTAGATAACTTTTTATTTAAAAATCACGGGATTTTTTCTGCTCTTTAAAATTAATCTCGGGATTTGAGGCATATCCACTTTATTCTTTCGCTGTATGAAATCTGTGTAAGTACATGAATTACTCTACCTAATTCCGACCACTGATCATAACGCACTAATATCGTAATGTACTATTATATATAAAGATATGTTGTACGTCCAGGTGTTAGTGTCGACCGCCACGTTGGCGTGGGGCGTGAACCTGCCCGCGCACACGGTGATAGTGAAGGGCACGCAGGTGTACTCGCCGGAGAAGGGCCGCTGGAGCGAGCTGGGCGCGCTGGACGTGCTGCAGATGATGGGCCGCGCGGGCCGCCCGCAGTACGACACCAAGGGGGAAGGTATACGCACGCACGTACACGTACACGTACACGTACACGTACACGTACACGTACACGTACACGTACACGTACACGCACACGTACACGCACACGTACATACATACATATAGAATTACAAGGACATAACATTAATAGATCATTTAAATTTAGATCATTTTAATTTATTTAATTAGGTATGTCAACGTCATACATGTTTAAACTTTACAATACAATATTTAAACAATTATAATTTCTGATACATATGACAATTACAGACATACACTACATTCACTTATTTATATTATTGAGCATACAAATCCTAAACACTAAATCAATAGTAATAAAATAATTAAAATTAATTAAGTCAAATTAATTTATCCAAATAAAAAAATAAACAAATAATTTAATCAAAACAAAATGTCAATATATTATTACACGTCGATATCCTAGTATACATCTGGTCAGTTTTCTCCTAAACTTCACCAATGGGTCGGCAAATATGTCGACATCACTGTGTCATATACTTACTTGTTTATAATTTTTGCATATTCTATAGATTGGAGAATTTGACCTTATGTTAGTTTTGCAAGAAGGTACGTGGAAAATATGCCGCAGTGTTTAAGCTGCGGCGCTGATTTTCAGCGGATACCTTAAGTAAATAAATGAATAAACTAAATAATATAAAATAAGGAGCAGCACGTATAGCATGACATACAATTACTTGCTCACGTATAGCACCCCATACAATTACATGCAAATAAGTAGCTCGGTGGCGTAGAGGATAAGCGCCGCGGCCCGCGATCTTTGTTGTTAAGCAACTTTCGCTAGGGTCGGTCACGAGATGGGTGACTAAAAAATTATTATCTCGAGTTACTCCGTGCTTCGGAAGGCACGTTAAGCCGTTGGTCCCGGCTGCATTTGCAGTCGTTAATACCCTCCAATCCGCATTGGGACAGGGTGGAGGGTCATAGCCCATCTTCCTTAACCATCCATAAGGAAGGCCTGAGCCCCTGCAGTGGGGACGTAAAAGGGCTGATGATGATGATAATAATCTTTATTCAAACAGACTTGTTAAAATTACTTTTTAATCATCCAACATTTTTTTTACTACCACTACTTCACGTCATTTGGCTGTTAAGAAGAACGAGCAAGAAACATACCGGCTCTAATGGGGGTAACGACATTCACAAAACCATGTCATTGTCAGATCAATACATTATAAATAGATAACATAATAATTTAATAATGGCAACAAGATAATTTTGAGATATAATGAGTTTAGAAAAAAAATCACCTATCCAGTTGCTGAGCTATCTTAAGTCCGAGGATTCTTATCTGTTATATAATCAGATACCTTATAATAAGCTTTTCAATAATACATAATTTTACAAATATTATCTGCGATATCTTACTATGATCTCAGTTGGCCACTTATTTGACTGTTTTAAAAAAATATATTATAAAATTTTCATATAATCATATTAAATACTATCACATTTGTTTTTCTCTAAAGAGTGTTATTTTAATAAAGGAGAAACATACTTTATTCATTAATATAATCAGTTACGCGACATTTTGAGCCGTGACGAGCATATTTTAATAATAATAAACATAAGTACTGATTACAGCGGCAACAAAAACGTTTAGTTTTTTTGATATGTGACGCCATTGCTTTTTCTTTCCTTTGTAATCGACAGATTATAAATCGCAAGGTAATTTCGCAAAAATAAAATATACATATCATTTATTTTAAAACAAAAATATTACTTACTAGCTTTTCGCCAGCGGCTTCGCCCGCGTGGTCTCTAAAGAAACATTTAGTGGGATAAAAAGTATCCTATTATCTAAGTCAGCTAATACCCTATCTGTATACCAAATTTCATCAGAATCCGTTCAGTAGTTTCGGCGTGATTGACCGACAAACATCCAAACAAAGAAACTTTCACATTTATAATATTAATAGGATGTAGTTATAGTTTACATAATTATAAATCACCAATTCCAACATTTTTCATAGTTTACTGTGATAATTATCAAGAAGCCAATTGACTTGTTGCCATGCACCTTATGTGATTATTTTCCCCATAACATTATCGTTACTTTAAATATTTAGGGCTTGTGTTGTGATACATCATTTATATTATTAATATTTATTGGGCAACATAATAGGGATGATGACTGGGTAAAAAAAATGCAATTCTTTTTAGTCCGTCAGTCAGATAATTGAAAAATATTAGATACGTATTTTTTTTTTTCTTCAAATTAACAAGAAATAGCTTAGATAACAGGCATTAAAGTTGAGGAGTCGGGGCTCGCTACTTTACAGTTGAGTAGAAAACGTTCGTATGACGTATGACGTCACGTTAGGGTAACGTGACGTCATACGAAATTTCAACTCAATGTAATAATTTTATGATTACGAAAAAACACTCTATCTGACGGACAAACAAACAAAAATTAGTCATCATCCCTATTCTCATATGTATCAGAAATTGTAATCGTTTAAATAAATAAATTTCAAAAAGTCGGCTATTTTATATATATTTAAAAATCAAATTGTTCAGGTATCCTGATAACGAACTACTCTGAGCTGCAGTACTACCTGTCGCTGCTGAACCAACAGTTGCCCATTGAGTCCCAGCTGGTGGGCAAGTTGCCGGACATGCTCAATGCTGAGATTGTGCTGGGCTCTATCCAGAGCTTACGGGACGCTGTCACGTGGCTCGGTAAGTAATTTTAAATGTATTATAAACGGCAATTATAGAAAAGTCAATGGTAACCACATTATTTTAAAAGTAAAGCTATTCTATTCTTTTTAAAAAAAAGTACATTGTGTTTATTTTAATTTAAGTAAACCACAAAAATACAGAACTATAAAAACACCTTTAAAACCTTTTTCATACTCGTGAAGACGCCGTCTGTCATAATTATGACGTCATTTCGGTATGTACACAAATAAACGCATAGAGCATATTTTCGGGAAAAAAATGTCTTAATTTTCTCTTTGGACTCAAAATAAATACGTTTTGTTCAGGTTACACATACCTATACATAAGGATGCTCCGCCAGCCGGCCCTGTACGGCATATCTCCTGATAAGCTGCAGGACGATCCGCTGCTGGAGTTGCATCGAGCTGATCTGATACACACCGCCGCCTCGCTACTGGACAAGTCAGTACAACGTACCCTGTTTTTACTTCCTAGTGTTACTCTTTTAGGGTTCCGCATATCTTATAGGATCGTTTGGTTGGCCAGTCTGTTTGTCTGTCTGTCCAACTACTATGTCCTAAAGTACTGGTCTATTTCAGTTGAAATTTTGTTCTAATTACTACGAACAAGACAAGTATACAAATCGTGTGAGTTTAAAAACATAATTACTAATCCTTAGACGATATAATTTAGTTATTTACACACAAAAAAGAAAATTAGAAATTAAATATTACACATACACCGGTTTACAAATTTAACAAACAAAAAATAGTATATGTAGCCGAGTTAGTTGACTGTAAATCCACTTACCAGCGTTTTTATTATGTGACATATTATGAAGAACGGTAAAGACTTGTCGTATAAGAAGTTACTGTTAATAAAATGTATTATTAAGAACATCACATTAGTTTTAAAAAATTGAAATGAAATTTTTCTCCGTCAACACTTATATACTGTGATGAAATTTAAGTTCTGAACAGCTCGTCTTCGTCAATAGCGGTACTTGTTCGGATAATAACTAATTGGATTTATTAGACTGATCTGTACATTTTTTAATAATTTCAACTTCTCATTTCCAATACGATGACCTGCCCCCTTACTCTGAAACGCAATCACGACTGATCGACATTGCAATTGTGACGTTTCTTACTCTTGATTGGGTATACTAGCGCCAGAGTATGCTGTCGTGATTGCATTCGAGAGTAAGGGGGCAGATCTGATACAGCCAGTTTCAAGGTGTCTCCATCTCGGAGGTCCCGGGTTCGATTCGCAGTCGGATTAATGTAGAAAATTAACTTTTCTATAATGCCTCGAGTCTGGGTGTTGTTGTTGTCTTAGATACTCCATAGTACAGGAGCTTTAGCTACTTATCTTGGAATCCGAGCATTATATGTGATGATATCTAATATTTATTTATTTTTAATAATATATATTTTTTAATATAAACAGAGCAGGACTCAACATATTCCCTTTAACGTACAAACAGGGCGGGGCTAATAAAGTACGAACGCAAGTCCGGCCACTTCCAACCGACCGAGTTGGGACGTATCGCGTCGCACTACTACTGCACGTACGAGACGATGCAGCAGTACAATCAGCTGCTGAGGCCGACCCTCGGCGAGATCGAGCTGTTCCGTGTGTTCTCACTGTCGGGCGAGTTCCGGCACGTGGCCGTCAGGGATGAGGAGAAGCTGGAGCTGCAGAAGCTCATGGAGAGAGTGAGTATTGGGATTGTTAACAAATGATAGGTAGTGATTTTCTCCATTAAAAAAAGCATCTTCTAGTAGTATATTATGCTTATATTTATTATTAAACAAAAAAGCATTTTCTAGTAGTATATTATGCTTATATTTATTATTAAACAAAGTACGATACGATAATACAAGGTAAATAGCTCGTTGACGTAGTGGGTAAACGCCGTGGCCCGGGATCATTGTTGTTAAGCAAGCATCTTTCGTAATGGTCGGTCATGAGATGGGGTGACCAAAAAAATTGTTATTTCGAGCTACTCTATGCTTCGGAAAGCATGCTAATCCATTCCATTCTTCTTAACCATTCATAAGGAAGACCTGAGCCCTTGCAGAGGGAACGTAAAAGGGCTGATGATGGAGGTGACTTGATTTGTGATCAGACCTAATCTAATATTTATATATTTTTCATGTTATATATTTGAACAATTTTTTATTTACAATGCTCTATTGAAAAATATTCTTAATGTAAAATGCTAAAAAATACAATATGTCCCTGGCACTCTGAGATGGAACTCTAACCCACCACCTTTCGCATTTCGGGTGACTGCTCCAACCACTGAGCTATCCTAACAAGACTGGCGGATTTTCCAAGCAATTGTTATTTTTTCGTTAGAGTGCCCCGGACAAAGTGGATTCATTAAGCGTTTTTTTTTATTAAGAATATTATATTATGTACTTATCACTGATTTAAAAACACATCGTCCAGGTACCCATACCGATAAAGGAGAGTATAGAGGAGCCCTCGGCGAAGATAAACGTCCTCCTGCAAGCGTACATATCGCAGCTGAAGCTGGAGGGCTTCGCCCTGATGGCGGACATGGTGTACGTGACCCAGTCCGCCTGCAGACTGCTCAGGGCGATATTCGAGATTGTACTGCACAGGGGTGAGATATATTTTTTTTTCATTTACTTAAGACTACAAACAGTCATGTACATAGAACAATAATTATTGTAATTTGTTGAAATTACAGTGGACCCCCGGGTAATCCGGCCCCTGTCTAATCCGGCGCCCCCTGTAATCCGACATGTCCGAATATTTTTAGGTAGATACGTAATGCATGATTGAACAGGTCACAACTTGTGCGCGCCCCCATTATTGCGCTCGACGCGTAGGTTTTGTTTTGATTCGGATTGCTTAGTATGAATTTGACTACAGGTGATAGTGGTCCGCCGCCTTGCGTGCGTGCGTTCATTGTTTACCTACTGTTTATTCATTATGTATTACGTACCTATATGTACCTAGTAATGTCGTCACAAGCCCACAAGTGAAAGCACAAAACTCTGACAATTAAATAAAAATCTGATATTTTAGATCACTTAAATCGAAATGAATCTTTCAGTAATTTGACAAGTGAATACGTCGTAGGGCGATTTACAATTAATGACCAAAAAAAAATAAAGAATATTTTCATGCTTCATAAATTGGTTGATTCAATTTTTATTCATAATTTCAAATCATTTTAATACCTATGTAAGTTAGTTATTATTTTTTGTAAGTTCTAGCATTAATGACATCACTTTTACATTATATTAATACATAAGCCCTATATTATGTTGTCTAATTTACCTACTAGATTCGATATACATAATGAAGTATGATTTGTACTTCAGAGCACTTATAACACTGATCTGTAATATGTCGAATTACAAGGCACTCCTTTGTAAAAAAAATCCGAACTATAGGGGGTCTTAGACAGTACTCTATAATCCGACAAATTCGATGGTCCGACACTGCACTGCAAAACGTTTGTCGGATCACCGGGGGTTCGCTGTATAATAGACCTATAGTGCCTATAAAATGTACTAAAACTTAACAATAATATTATTTGAGCTCACTTATTTGTCAAATTCAAAAGTTACAATTTTGTTTCATAAGTTTGAGAGAACAACGACATTTGGAGGACATTACCATATATTAAAATATGCTTAACACAGAGTACCTAGTAGGAGTTACAACTATAAATACTTGTGTGCTTAAGTTAATAGTACTGGACCAAAACAAAAGAAAAAAAGGAACATATTATGTAAAATAGCCCGGCAAGGCTATTTAGTGCTTAACAAATTGTGATAAGTGATATTAATAATAATACTTTATTGTCGCACCATTTTTAACAGTTAAAATTTTTAACATGAATTTTTCAAATTAAATATAACACAATAGTGTAGCAATTGGCGGTTTTATCGCTAACAGCGATTTCTACCAGACATCTTTTATTATAAAGATATTAAGTAAACTCAATACCGTTTTTTTAATGTATATATATCACACACATATTTATACATATGCAGTAAAGGATTGTTTGATATAATTTTAATTGATTGCTAGTTAGAATTTCCGAAAGAATACATTTTAATTTCTGTAGCGTTATGTTAAAGATGTCTATATGGGTGAAGTCATGGTTGTAAATATTAGTGGAATGGTATAGACAGAGATATTGTATAATGTTATATATCTAAAAATTTATTTAACATATTAATTGTTATATTTAATATGGAGATATCGCTGTTGTATCGTCACGCTTGGTTTATTGTCGATCTTAATTTTCTGAAATATAAAATGGGTACATAGTATAAAACAAAGTCGCTTATCTACCCTGTAACTCTATGTATGCTTCAATCTTTAAAACTACGCAACGGATTTTGATGCGGGTTTTTTTTCATAGATAGGGTGATTCAAAAGGAAAGTTTTTATGTATAATACAAGACCACGCGGGCTAAGCCACTAGCGGAAAGCTAGTATTTTCTATAATAATAAATGCATAGAATATGTATTTCACCATCAGGTTGGGCTCAGTTGGTCGACAAGACCCTGGCACTGTGCAAGATGGTCGACAGACGTATGTGGCAGTCGATGTCGCCGCTCAGACAATTCAGAAAAATGCCGGAAGAGGTCAGTATAATATTGTGAATGGTTTTATAATTATATATTCAAATAATATATAATGCATGGACTTTAACGTCACGGCACAGTTCCGAGTAGTTAAATATTGTCACTCCAACCTAGTAAATCACTAAAAAATGTATTTATAATATGTCAGTAATTATTCCATTATTTATTTTACATTAAAAAAATTTACATAGGACTAGAAACTATTTATTACCGACAGGACCGACGTTTACATTATTTCTAATATCATTAAATTATATTTTGTATATATTTTTAAATAAATAAACAAAAATATTTCGTAAAAGTTTGTCTCTCTTCAAATTTTATTAGAAATTTTAATTTTAGCTTGGCTTATTTTATAATATTTTTAATCGGAATCAGCACTCATATTGATTAATTTAAAACAGTTTTTTTAAGTAGTCCAGTCTCTATTATCTTTTTATAATTGAGTATTCTACTCTGTTTGAATACTTTGTAACTGTTTATTTTAATAAAAATATATATAAAACAAATATTTCATTAAAACCAACACATTTTCTTGCCTTAAACTTAAATCAATTTTTTTTTTATACCCGCCAAAGCACTGTCTGTCATATTCATGAATTCACTGTGATATATACACAAAACATATTATAAATAGAGTAGAAGATAAAAATATATCAATAAAACAAAAACAATACCATCTAACGCTCGATTACGAAATAAAAACATATAAATAAACCAAGAACAGCGCCATCTAGGAAACAGATTTATAACTATTAAGCATATCTTTACGACTAATCTGAGCCGTCGTCACAGTGACGTTGCACAACTCGGAATCAGAACTTCCATGTCACCGAAACTACCCTGTTATCTTATCGTTCGAATAGGTGATAAAGAAGTTGGAGAAGAAGAACTTCCCGTGGGAGAAGCTGTACGAGCTGGGCCCGAACGAGATAGGCGAGTTGGTGCGCGCGCCGAAGCTCGGCAAGATGCTGCACCGGCACGTGCACCAGTTCCCGAAGCTGGAGCTCGCCACGCACATCCAGCCCATCACGCGCTCCACGCTCAGGGTCGAGCTCACCATCACGCCGGACTTCCAGTGGGACGAGAAGGTGACCGCGTCTCGTAGCTATGTTTTTTTATTTTATTTATTTATACATTAGGTAACTAGGGTTGCCAGATGGTCGGGATTCGTCTGGATTATCCAGACATTTCGTATTATGTCCAGAGTCCCAAAAAAAACAAATATGTCCCGACAAAAATTGTTAGATTCTGTAAAATCGAATTACAAAAAATAAAATAACAGACATATCATAAAAAATATAATAAGTAGGTATATTAGCTGTTTCAATGTAAACTATTATTATCTGATCTTATAAATTGACAAAAAGTAGACCCTTGTTATTATTTTAAAATTTAATAAATTAAAAGTGGATTTTTTTATTAGTTTTTTTTTTGTCCCGACTGTGATCCCAAAATCCGGACTTTTTCAAATTTTGACCAGATATTTTAGTCTCGCTATCTGGCAACCCTATAGGTAACACAACAGACATTAATCAGTATACCGACGTTGGAAAGCGACGTAGTAACCCGCAAAATCAAAATTCTTCTTTAGAGCAGATTTCTTTTTTATTTTTTTTCGATAAATAATTCCTATAAAAGTCCATGGTAGCAAATAAGGTGTTCCTTAGTCAATTTTAATATATTTTATAGAAAAATCTTTATAATTTTTTTTAATATAAAGATTTTCCACTGTAAATATCCATTTTGGTTATGCAGGTTACTACGTGTTTCTTTCCAGCGTCGATATATATTAATAATAAGTAACAACTGTGTATTACTAAATTTACACAATGCGATATGATAAAGAAAAAAAAATTTTTTTTTTGTTGCAATTTATAATAATCATTGCTCTTGCCTTGTAATCAGGTTCACGGACAGTCGGAGGCGTTCTGGATCCTGGTGGAGGACGTGGACTCGGAGGTGATCCTCCACCACGAGTACTTCCTGCTGAAGGAGAAGTACTGCAAGGACGAGCATCAGGTCAAACTGTTCGTGCCCGTGTTCGAGCCGTTGCCGCCACAATACTTCCTCAGGGTCGTCTCTGACAGGTCGGTATATATTAAAGATGTAACGGATATCTGGTTACTATCCGGTATCCGGCCTTATGTTTACAATCCGGCCGAATACTGGATAGGGTTCCAATATCCGGTTGGATACCGGATAGTAAAATAAACATAAAATTTTACACAAGGAAAATTATACCACTTTACATACATTTATTAATTAGTTTAATAAAATTAGCCTAATTAGAGACAAATTTTGGTGAATGAATACCAAACTTTCTGCTTTTGTTGGTAAGAGGCGACTCCGCTTTGCTTCATATACCGTGGCAGCTTCAAGGAATTCCTATTTTAAGTATTTGCCCGAGTTTGTGTTGGCAATTTTATCTCTGCCACACTCGAATGTTGAATGCGAAAGAGTTTTTAGCAAAGTAAATGACATAAAAACTAAAAAAGGGAATAAACTCCTTACGAGATCGATTAAAGCAAATTTTTTATCGCAACAGGCCATACAGCGTCACTGAATAAATTGTATTGTTTTTGTTCCAATTGATACAATGTTTCAAAAGTATAAAATAAATATGTATATGAATACCGGAATAATTATACTCTAACCTAAAACCTATTCCTAAATATTCAAGGTAATCTACCATACGCTAGATTTCAGAGTTGGTAAAACTGCTTATACTTAGACTTAAATACCAAGGTTCTTGTTATATATACTATATATGACAAGAACCTTGGTATTTTATAACGTATTTGTATAATTTGGACTAGCTGTTTCCCTCGACTTCGCTCCTGTATATGATGTAATTTCCAGTAGGCGGAAGAAGTTTTGGAAAACAGTTAAGCAGTTTCCGAGTTTAGTTATATCAAGACGATCAAATCTTTCTTTTCATAATATGAATATAGATATTGTAAAGGTTTATTTTGATTGGTGGTATAATATGCTGGGTCTCTTGTCTTGTTTGGGGGAGACTAAATATGTGGGTGGTTAAAGTAATCTATATATATAAATGAATTTTTTGTCATTTAAATGCAACATTAACATAATTCATTAATTAAACAGCTAACATATAAAAATCAACACAATATGTATATAAGAAACCTATAATTGGCTTTATAAATTATTATAAATAAGTTTGTAAGTATGAACTATAACAAGCTGTTGGTTTCAATAAATAAATAAAAAAAAAGATAATAAAAAAAAATTAATCCATACTTCGTTATTCACGCCATCACACGTGAACTGCTGGACCGATTGCGCTAATTCTTTTTTCCTTTATGTCTTTGTAATTGCCAGAAGAAGGTTCTTATTAAAGAAAAATAAGAAAATTGAGTGGAAATTTTGAAATTTTTATAAATATTTAACCAACATATAAAATTATTTTTAAGTTAACATTAAAGCTTTGGATAATATTAATCTTTTTTAACTTAAACTCATGATGTTAATGCGTGCTGCAAATGTTGTCAAATGCGATCTAAAATTTATCCTATTCAAATTCAATATTCATAATTCAGATAGGGCAACGTCTGTTGGGTCAACAAGTAAAAAAATATATATTTATATTGATCCGCCCAAATGGTTGGCATCGTAGGCATTTTTTACAGTTATTTTGCTTCAATATATTATCTAACAGCTTAGAAATAAATTTGACCAGATTAATCTAAACTGTGTCAATATGGAAATCATTCAGACTTATTTGATACACTATCAAGTACAAAAGAAATTGATTATAAAGATCAGGGGTGGCCAACTTGTTTAGATCCAAGATCGACTTTTCACTGACGACACTCAGTACAATCTACCAATGAGGGCTAATACGTTTGAATTTACCACTAGAGGCGCTAGTGTAGCGTGAGGTCTTCAAAATGTCATATATCATACATTGTCGGTAAACTACGCACACGTTTATTTTCATGTAAACGAATTTCGACGCTTATTTTGGTTTACCTTAGATTTATAAAAGCAATGAATTACCGGTCAATGAATGACAGTGATTTAAAGCCGGAGCTAAGACAAGTAATGCAAAATTAAGCGCAAGGAAAAAAAGAGCTAAATCAGAGGTTAGTTCGTGTTTATTCAGCATATTCGATATTTTTAATAAAATGTTTTATTTATGAATTAAGATGTATAATTTAAGTTCAACCTCGTAGTGAACATACTTTGACGAGACCTCACGCGACTGCCGCGCCATCTGATGAGCAAAAAAACCGTAGCCCTCATTACTTTACCATAAAATCTTAAATGGAACAGCATAGTTCGTACGTACACTATGTATTTAGATTTCCACGATCGACTAGACTAATAGTCGCGATCGACTGGTCGATTGCAATCGACTGGTTGGCCATCCATGATATAGATGGACTAGCTTTCCTTAGGGGAACTGTTTAGCGGGATAATAGTAAATAGCAGTAGGATAAATAGCTTAAATAATTGATCATATCGTGACATGGATATAAAAACAATGGTTACTATGGTAACGATTTAATTTCCTATATAAATTACCATTTCAATTTTCATCCATGTTTCCAGTGTTTCGGGATAAAATATGGCCTGTGTCCACCAAATTTGATGTAGCTTCCCGTTTGTGAAATGATTTTTGAAATATGTCCAGTAGTTTCGAAGCCTTTTCGCTGCAAACAAACGAACGACCAAATATTTCCTCTTTATAATAATAGTGAAGATGAGTATACCGATGATGACAGGTGGATAGCGTCAGAGACCCAGTTGCCGGTGTCGTTCCGCCACCTGATCCTGCCGGAGAAGAACCTGCCCCCCACCGAGCTGCTGGACCTGCAGCCGCTGCCGATATCCGCCCTCAGGAACTCCGCATACGAGCAACTGTACAACGAGGCCTTCCCGCAGTTCAACCCAGTGCAGACACAGGTAGAATAGTTACAACAACAAGACAGACTACAGACAAGGGCCAAAATAATAATCAAAGTCCCCAAATGTAATAATAATATATGACGGTATTAAAAAGTATGAAACAAAAAAAGACCTGCAAAACAGTAAAATTTCCCCACTCGATTATAAACTTTAATATTGAGTGTAGAAGTCTAAAATCAATTGCAGAAATTTTACACGTTGTGTTTACCTGATGGTGCACATAGTGTGATAAAAAAGCTATAAAGATATGACACAATAGTTCTTCTTTTATAATTCATGGCCTCTGTGTTTACACAATAGGCTAGTTGCCAACTTTTTTTTTTATTTCCTAAATAAATAGTCCATTAACATTTGAGAAATAATGTAGAAGTAACAGCATGTCTGAGATTTATAGTTTCGGAAATACGTTGCTGTGTTTGTAGAACTGCTGCTAGTTGGCCGAAAACGCTCCCTACAAATTCAAGGCACTCAGTGACGTCACACGGTGCTAGAGTAGCGAAAAATGTATGGCCGTCTGGACATTTTTTGTAATATCTTTGTTATTTGTGCGTTTATTTTTATAGCTGTTATAATGAAAGTTGTAACATTTTTTATATCTAATTTAATGCCTTATGTATTTTAGCAAATTTATGTAGTAGATTTTCTCTACTTTTTTCAAGTTTTCAAAGCATAATATTTTCCAAATCATTGACTTAAAATTTGTTTTGTTAAACATTTATAAGTTAAAATGGTTCATATTTGTCGAAGATATAACAAAAATCCGTATTTTCACTTGTAGGACACAAGCCTATTCCGCCAATGTCACGTTAGTGGCTTTTACACGTAAAAAGACGAAAACGAAAATATAATTTTTAGGTACACTAAAACAAAAAGAAATTAAGTAAGACTATCTAATTTTGTATGGCATACGTTTTTACTGAATGTCTAATAAATAAAACATGAAATGTAACTTTATAATTTTATCAATTAATGTTTACGGTAAGACGTTTTGTTTGGCACTGACATGGATTTCAGTTCTTTGTCTTTTTTTTTTAATGTATTCAATAGTAAGTATTTAACATGTTAACCGGTGTCAGTGACATTTCACTAGTGTGCCCAATATGGCGACTGCGAATCCGAATTTTGCAGACATGTTGTCGTTTCGTAATATTTTTTTTTAATGTTTAATTATACAGGTTATGGTTTCGTTCTTGTGTATCGTACCCCGTAACGAAATGATGAATATAGATAAGCACATTACATTAATATTTCGGGGAAATTTACTGTATTTATTAATAAAAATCAAAGTTGAAGTTAAAATTTCCGAAACTGCGTGAAAAACGCTGTATTTGTCATCTGTATCTGTCGCCGCCATTACGCCCTGTATGACGTCAGATGCTAGTAAATAAACAAACCTCTTCAAAGTATAATGGGAAGCGAAACTTACTAGCGTGTGACATCATCGCAACTTACAAGACGTTTTCGTCTTAGATAAAATGTCAAAAAATATTTAATTTTATTTCATTATTTCGTTTAAAATAAAGTGAAATATGTGTTATTACGCTATTATCTTATAGGATGACCACATTTTTCAATATTTATTTTAATGTTGTCATATGTCCTAGTCACCGACCCGCTGTGTATATATTGTCAGGTGTTCAACGCCGTGTATAATTCTGATGAGAACGTGTTCGTCGGCGCCCCATCCGGCTCCGGCAAGTCTGTGATCGCTGAGCTCGCGTTATTGCGGCTGCTGTCGAGCAACGCCGCCGGCAGAGCTGTATACCTGCTGCCTAAGGTTTGTTGTACATCATCCATCATCCTAACCTGTAGAACGAACAGGGTGAATGGGCCATCACTCGCGGCACGGTTAACAACGGCACATGTAACTGAGATCAACGGCTTAACGTGCTTTCCGAAGCACAGTGGTATATGGTCACCCATCCTGTGACCAGCCTGTGCGAAAGTTGCTTAACAACCGTAACGCAGACCGAGAGTACTGACCACTGCGCCATCGAGCTCCTCTTTTTTTGCATACAATATTCCCTGTAGATCAATTGATCATAGAAGTAAATGTTTGACCTATATCTATTGTAATAGTATAAGAATTAACTCAGAAGTACTTTGACTAAAACCGGGTAAAAATACCGAGAATCCGGGATCAGGAAAAAATTATGAAATATATATCTATTTATAATTTGTCCATCATAAATAATTACAGAAACTTTTGGAGTCTTTAACCGAGTTGAAACAGAAATATATCTGTGTAAATTTGATGTGTCAGTTTGTGAGATACACCCTGGTGACAGACGGACAGACAGCGGAGATGTAGTAATCATTTTAACCGTTTTTGTACGGAACCCTAAAAAAATCTGCACGCTTTAACGTATATCTTATCTAAGGGGCCGTCTATTAATCACAAGAGGCTCGAAAGAGGGGGGAGAGCGAAAAGAAAGGAGATACGTCAAAAATCATGACATATACGTGTAGGGAGGTAAAGTAAAATATTACGTGTATTTATTTTTCCCCAAACACGAAATTACTAAATTGAAAAGCGGCGTCAATAGTTAAGATTTTTCGTGGGTACTAAAAATACACGTGATTTGTGTGGAAGGGGGTGGGGCGAGGGGTAGACTTAAACTTGATGTGTCACCAAGGAGGAGAGGGGGTTAAAAAATACTGAAAAAAACATCACGTGATTAATGGACGGCCCCTAATTATTGGGCTTGTGGTGATCTCAATTGTATAATATTTTTATGATTAAAGACAATTTTTTTAAAGTTACCTATGCAAAAAGGAAAACAAAAATTTTATTATGATATTGACTAAAAATTGAGTTTTTTTTTTTAAGGACGCACTCGCTGATATCGTGTTTGCTGATTGGTATCACAAGTTCGGTGCCAAATTCAACCTTAAGGTGAGTGAGAATAGTATTGCGTTTTGTATGGGGCGAGATTAAACAAACAAATTACTAATTTCAGTCAAGTGATCTAATTAATTTGGTCAATACCAGCCTCAATTAAACTAAAGAACTTGTAGATTTATTCCGTAGAAACATACAATTAATTAGTTTCTGAAATTGCTTAGAGTTTTTTTATTACAGGATAAAAAACGCAGTTTGAAAGTATTAAAATTAAATTTAAACCAGCTTTTGTGAACAGGATTTAATTTATTGATTTCTAACGTGTACTTTAAAACGGTTTCATCGCGTTTGTATTTAGTTTTATTGACGTTTCGGACCCTTTACAGGTTCCGTATTTACATACGGCTAAGGTGTTGAGTGTCTTTTTAATTAGGAGTATACCTACCTTCAAATGCCAATACTATTGGACGCATTTACAATACAGGAAATTGTATAGTTTATGGCAACATTTATTAAATTAAATTATTTTAAAAATACGTTTGGCTTATTTATTTACCTCTGGATACTCTATTAATTTTATGATATTGTGTCAGGTGGTGCAATTAACCGGTGAGACGGCGACGGACCACAAACTGTTGAATAAAGGACAGATCATCATCACCACAGCTGAAAAATGGGACGTGCTCTCCAGGAGGTAAGCATAATACAAATAATATATCTCATCAATTTAGCTAAGCTAAAGGATATAATTATAAGCGGGACAAATGTCGACATGTGTCTGTAATTTTGTCTAAATTGAAAGGTAGGATAGATTTTATTTCAATTATTAATCGCATATCTATACTATAATAATATAAAGAAGAAAGATTTGATTGTTTGTTTATTTTAATACGCTCCGAAACAACTGGAACATTTTTAAAAATTGGGGAATAGACCACTTTTTTTAATATTTTCATTTTATAGATATACATGAGATATATCTAAAAAAATACTTTTTTAAATGTCATTGATATAATATGTAAAATTCTAAAAATAAATTTAATTTTCAAAATTTTCCGTGTAAACGCCACTTCTGTCATTGAGTAGCTATGACGTCACGGCATTCTGGGACTAATATCGTTATGATATGAGTAAGAGGGGCGTGACGTTACGCGCTGTTTGCGGTCACGTGACAACGATTATAAAATATTTGCTTTGTCATAATTAATTTAAGCAATATCTATATATATAAAAATGAATCGCAAAATGTGTTGGTAAGCGCATAACTCAACAACGCCTCGACCAATTTGGCCAAATCTTTTTTTAAAATGTTCGTTGAAGTTCAAGGATGGTTTTTACGGCGAGAAAAATTAGAATTATTGCTGGAAAACCCCTAAAAATAGCCCTTTTCTTTTTCCCATACAAATGATTTGTAACTAAAACGTAGTCAATTTGAGCTTTATTGCTATGGTATAAAGTTCATATTAAATTACAAGCACTCACTGTTGTCTAAGCAATGTAGGTGTGTTCCTAACGTCAAAGATCATATCTATCAAAACAACAATGTGCGTGTGTGCGTTGGAGCACAGAATACATAGTTGGAGGAGTTTAATGTCGCGTTCCGAAACTCGCGTTTCTTTTGTATTAGTTTCGGCACGCGAGATAAAATGCATCAGTTTCCACGTCATTACATGTATTGCCGGAACATTGATGAAAATACGCTCTGTAGTAGCAAAGCTGTTGGGTCCTAGATAGCTCATTGGTTAGAGCAGTCCCTGGATCGCGAATGGGTTCGAGTCCCATTCCGGGGTACAGGTAGATGGATTCTTCCAGCATTTTTCCTTGAGAATGTTTATATATTTTTTTAATTCGAATAGTTTACTTTTATAATGCTGTTGTGTGTAATGTGTTTTTATGATCATAAAAATCTCTTTTTTCTATATTTAATACTATTACTATTAATACATTGCAATAATAATTATGATTCACATGATTAACAATAAAGCGATTACTTACTTTTAAATCCTTATATATGTTTTATTTAATTGTTTTTTATTCACAACGCCCTATCACCAGGGTGACGGTTCTGTTCAGGAGAATTTTTTTAAATACGTAGGCAAAAAAACTGCCACATTACAAATCTTTTTGACAGGACGAAGTCTGTCGGGTCAGCTAGTTATAAATATAATAAGCATAAAAGTGTGATTATCGGTAATATTAAATACTATCAGAAAAAAAAATATTATAATTTATTTTCGATTACTGTCTACACCCGTATTCTTTCACCTACGGGCATATTCACAAGCGGGACGAGACACTTTCAGCCCAGATGATATAAAAGTTCTGAAAGCTAAGAACATTATAAACTTCTTAGAGGCTAAAAGAGCTACTATGACCTTGGCGGCAAATCCCAAAAGATCTTATTATAGTTTTCAGTGATTTTGTATTTATATTGTTTCAGACAAGTAAGTTTCCAAAAGTCTGGTCTACATTTTTAATTGTTTACATTTGTTTGCAGATGGAAAGTGCGCAAGAGCGTTCAGAGCATATCCCTGTTCATAGTGGACGCTCTCCAGTTGCTCGGTGGTGAGGAGGGGCCGGTACTGGAGGTGGTGTGCTCTAGGATGAGATATATCGCTTCACAGATAGGTGAGTCATATATATAAAAAAATTGTGACACGATGTATGTTGCCAATAAACTCCAAAAGTACTGAACCGATTTCAATCAAATTTCACATGTACCCGTATTTTGGTCTAACTTACTGGATAGGATAGTTGTCATCTCAATTATTCGCTTATGTCGTGAATGTAAACGAATAAAATGTACTAATTAGTTGTTTTTTAAGCAAGTGTTTACTGTTTAGTTTTATGAAGTCTTCATAGATGGCGGTGTACGTAGATTCATAGACAAAATTCTTCAATATCGTTTGACATCTAGGTTGCAAAAGCGTTTATTCTAAAGTAATCTGCGGTAACTTTTCTTTCAAAGAATTTTGCTTAGATTACGTTTTGGATTAAGTTTTTTGTAAACTTCAGAACTGTTTTTTTTTCATCTGTATTTCAAATTGCATTGAATTGGATTAATATATCTAAAGTTTCAAAGATAAAGTGTTGAAACATATTGGACATTTGTTGGTTTTTTTGTTGTACTATCTTCGAACTTAAACATCAAGGTAATTAATAAAAAATAGGAAGGGTGAGGGCTGAAAATGAAAGTGCATGAATTTTGATGATTATCACAATCGTTCTCAATGGAATGAATAGAATGAGAAGAATGGAGTGTGGCCTAAAACGGAAACGGCTCCAACGATTTTTATAAAAAATAATATGCAGCTGATTTCGGAGAAAAAAAAACGACCTACCTAGGTTTTGCTTACTTAAAAAATACCGAGTAAAGCACTGTTTTTTACGTACTATTTTATATGTAATATTTTTTACAAAGACAACTTAATATAATAAATTTAACCTTATATGTAGTCATAAATTAAACTTAGTGTTAGTTGGGGGTGAGTGGGGGGGGGGCAAGGGGTCCGAGACAGGAGTAATGTTAATTTGACAGTCTTGTACAGGGTTTTTAGCTTTGGTTTTACGAACTCTCGTAAAAGATTCCAAACCTTTTAACTAATTGAATCTCTTGGGGGATCACCCCAACCCCCCTGTGGAGCAATATCATCATATTTTATTGCACCATGTTGGTATTGGCTCCATTATGGCACAAATTGACTCAAATTTTTTGGCCAATTTCAATCTTCATCCTCAATGAATCGGGCCACCGTTACGTTAATCTTGTCGCGTATTTCCTTCCCCACATTGAGAATAGGTTTGTGTCCTACAAGTGTAAATACAGATTTCTGTTATATGTTCGGTAAATATGAATTATTTTAAAAAAACTTTTAAAAAAAATAGTAAAAGTACTATATTACAAAAATTTGCTAAAATACGTATGGCAACAGAGTTACATAAAACGATACAAAATTCATTACAAAAGCTAGAAGCATACACGCACAAATTATAAACTTATTACAAAGATTGCTCAGACGACCACACGTTTTACTCTATGAATTTGTAAGGAGTGCTTTCGGCTGACTAGCAGCATTCCACAAACAGAACCGTATCTCCGTAACTATTAATTGCAGACATGCTGTTAATTGTACATTATTTCTCGGATATTAATGGACTATCTAAATATATATAACTCAAAGGTGACTGACTGACTGACATAGTGATCTATCAACGCACAGCCCAAACCACTGGATGGACCGGGCTGAAATTTGGCATGCAGGTAGATGTTATAACGTAGGCATCCGCTAAAAAAAAATTTTAATCAATTCTACCCCCAAGGGAATAAAATAGGGGACGAAACTTTATTTCAGTTATTTTACACGATAACATGAATAAATATTCGTTAGAAATGCTGCTCAAACTAACGCGGACGAAGTCGCGGGCAAAAGCTAGTTTATTTATAAAATAAAATAAAAATTGACAACTTGCCTATTCCTATACTAGTGTATACACGTTATGGTCGATGGTGAGTGATCGGTAGTAACTCGTACGCGGTCTCCAGGTCGTCCCATCCGCATCGTGGCTCTGTCCCTGCCGTTGGCGGACGCGCGGGACGTGTCCCAGTGGCTCGGCTGCGGACCGAACGCGTCGTTCAACTTCCATCCGAGCGTCAGACCGTTACCGCTGGAGCTGCACATACAGGTAGGTACTTACCTATCTATATATTAATACGTGAAGCAAAAAATGTTTAGCCCTTTTTACGAAAATTGCGAGGACGGTGGAGTATGAAATTTGGGACACTTATAGTTTATATGTAGGAGAAGTGCAAACGGCTTATATCTTTCAATAATAATGCTTATAAAGTACATTAAATATATAAATAAAATATTACACACTACTATATGCATTTGATACACACAAACAAGTATATGTTACACGCATACATGTACTCTGTGGTCGAATTGTGTCTTTTGAATATTGGCTTCGCACGGTTTGTGCATTTAGCCAGTGTCAAGTTTTATATCATACATATGAACATCTATTTGTATGTTTGTGATGTTTACTGTGGTCTTACTGAATGTCAAAAGATTTTCGATTTCAGTAATAACTTCTTGAAATGTATTTTGGTCGAATTTCGACCACTGGGTGACCACTAGTTATAATAATAACGTTATTCATTTGATAATTAGCTGTTTTCCCGCGGGCTTTATATGTTGTTAAGCAGCTTTAGGTCGGTCGGTCGCGGGATGGGTGACCGAAGAATTGTTATCTCTAGTTACACCGGTCCCGGATGCATCCGCAGTCGCTTATATTAAAACTGCATTGGGACCACGCGGTGGGTCATGGCCCTTTGTTCCTGTTCTAGTTGATTCGAGGCTGATGATGTTTTCTCACGACTTCGCTGATGTAAAAAAATCCTGTAGATGAGAGATTTTTTTTTATCTATTCTTTAGTTTTGGAGTTTTTGGAGCCTTTTGTGATTGATGGTCGAACATCCTAACAAAGAAACGTTCATATTTATAATATTAGTGAGATTTATAATATTGTTGTATTCACACGTGACAGCAAACGTTTTTTACTCATATAAAATTTGGACAATACAATCTTATTCAAACATAAGGTTGAATTTTCCGAGTTTTCGCGGGAGTTTTGAAAAAAAAAGTCTTTTTCCCATACTGTGATTGCAGCATATTTTATAATCACAGCATAGTATAAAATAATGAAGCTTTTTCTCTCCATGCTTTGTACCGGATTTGGATGCGGGTTTTTTTTCATAGAGGGGCTATCCATAAATTACGTCACACGTTAGGGGGGAGGGGGGGGGGGGTCGACGAACTGTGACATTAGAACAATATTTAATAGAATTTGTATAGACAAACATGAGACAGGAGGGGGGTGGGGTTAAAAAATCATGAATTTTGTGTGACGTAATTTATGGATGGCCTCTAAGGTGATTGAAAAAAAAATGAGTGTGAGTTCAGTTTCATTAAAGCATAATTTGCACCGGCTATACTTTTGTAAATATTTGTAATATGGTTAGAACGATAGATTGTGTAGTCTACTTTACAGCCTAGAGATTTGTTTTCCGTTGTTGCTACTTGATTTTGTGAATGATTTTTTTTTAAATATATATCATGTCTATAAAATAAAACTTGTCTACACGTCTTGTTATGAAAAAAAAAACAAGTATTTTATCATCGTTGTCACGTAACCGTAAACGTCCCTTTTTACTCATATCAGAACTCGGACAATTCATCCTTTTTCATAGATTATATAATTAATTGTTATATCTATAAAAAACAAAAGCATATCCATACCCGCGTAACGTGTACGCGTACACCTACCATCCTGTACGACGCAGCGCTTAGTTGACCACGCTAACACAGTACACCATAAATTTTAATTATATAAGTTGTAGTTGAAGTTAGTTGTAAGTTGAAATTGTAAGTATATGCGAAGTATCTTTAGAAAATTCACAGTTTAGATTTATTAGTTTATTTGATGTCACTAGTGTTACAGTTAGATCGATACTTATTTAATAATGTATATTTCACTCTCAAGTAAAGTGTGCTAAGTTCAAATATGCCGACAATAATAATAATAGTTTCCGTATTTATTGAGCGCATTGAACTTCCGTATTTATTGAGCGGCTAAACCGTACACATCCGTTAATCGAAGTCGCATTGTGCGCTAGGGCTTCAACGTGTCCCACGCGGCGTCCCGCCTGGCGGCGATGACGAAGCCCATATACAACGCGGTGGCGGCGCACGCGGGCGCGCGGCCCTGCTGCGTGTTCGTGCCGTCGCGGCGCGCCGCCCGCCTGCTGGCCGCGGACCTGCTGGCGCTGGCCGCCGCGCACGGCCGCCCCGGCAGGTTCCTGCGCGCGCGCGCCGACCTGCTCGAGCCCTTCCTGCACAGGATACAGGACAAGGTATGCGCTGTATGCGCTGCGCTACTGCTCGCCGATACAGGTGTATAGAGCGCCGCCGACGGAGCGATGCGACCTCGCCCCCTCCCCCCTTCCTGCACCGGGTACAGGACAAGGTATACGCTAGAACTATCTGATACAGAAGTTTACAGATTGAGCGCCGCCGTTCCTGCACAGGATACAGGGCAAAGTATACAACTTTCTGATACAGAAGTTAACAGATTGAGCGCCGCCGTTCCTGCACAGGATACAGGACAAGGTGAGCGGTACGCTGCTGCTCGCCGATACAGATGTGTGCAGTGTACAGGTAGAGAGCGCCGCCAATGGAACGAAGCAAAAATCCCCTCCCCCCCTCCCTTCTTGCACAGGATACAGGACAAGGTATGCGCTGTATGCGGTACGCTACTGCGCGTACTGCTCACCGATACAGGTGTAGAGAGCGCGGCCAACGGAGCGAAGCAACCTCCCCCCTCTTCCTGCACCGGGTACAGGACAAGGTATAGTACTTTCTGATACAGAAGTTAACAGATTGAGCGCCGCCGTTCCTGCACAGGATACAGGACAAGGTATACCAACTTTCTGATACAGAAGTTAACAGATTGAGCGCCGCCGTTCCTGCACAGGATACAGGACAAGGTGAGCGGTACGCTGCTGCTCGCCGATACAGATGTGTGCAGTGTACAGGTAGAGAGCGCCGCCAATGGAACGAAGCAAAAATCCCCTCCCCCCCTCCCTTCTTGCACAGGATACAGGACAAGGTATGCGCTGTATGCGGTACGCTACTGCGCGTACTGCTCACCGATACAGGTGTAGAGAGCGCGGCCAACGGAGCGAAGCAACCTCCCCCCTCTTCCTGCACCGGGTACAGGACAAGGTATAGTACTTTCTGATACAGAAGTTAACAGATTGAGCGCCGCCGTTCCTGCACAGGATACAGGACAATGTATGCGGTACTCTACTGCTCGCCGATACAGGTGTATAGAGCGCCACCGACGGAGCGATGCGACCTCCCCCCCTCCCCCCTTCCTGCACCGGGTACAGGACAAGGTATACGGTACGCTACTGCTCACCGGTACAGGTGTGTACAGGTAGAGAGCGCCGCCAATGGAACGAAGCAACCTCCCCCCCCCCTCTTTCCTGCATCGGGTACAGGACAAGGTATGCGCTAGAACTTTCTGATACAGAATTTCCAGGTAGAGCGCCGCCAACGGAATGAGGAGAGGAATGGAGCAACCTCTCTCCCCCCCCTCATGCACCGGGTACAGGACAAAGTATGTGTACGCTACGACTTTCTGATAGAGATGTGTAAAGGTAGAGCGCCGCCAACGGAATGAGGAGTGGAACGGAGCAATCTCACCCCCTTCCTGCTCTAGGTACAGGACAAGGTATACACTACGAAACCAGTACACTTGCCAATTTTTGAAAAGGCCTTTAGAAATCATCTTTTGAACAACTGTCAAATATGGTTTTTCTTATACAGAAAATTGTCAAGGGGGGCGAACATTAATCACGTGATGTTTTTTCAAAAAAATTTTTCTCCCCCTCCCTTGGTGATACATGGTGAGGTTTAGGACTACCCCCTCCCTACATCAACCAAATCACGTGTATTTAAAAAAAACAAAAAGATCTTAATTTTTGACGTCGCTTTTCGGTTTAATAATCGCGCGTTGAGGAAAAAATAAATACACGTGATGTATGACTACACCCCTCTTGTCATATTTTGTGATTTTTGACGAATCCCCCTTTCGAGTCTCACGTGATTAATGGACGGCCCCCAGGATGGACCTACAAAAACAAAAAAAATATTAAAAGTCCCTTTTTTATTATTTTTTTAAGTTTATTTTTTCGTCAAAATATCCCTAATATCATAAAAGTTATCTGTCAGCGGCCATTTATATAATAGTTATTTAAGATAGGAGTGCGGAAAGTAAGGTTTTACAAATAAGGGCCAAATTGGCCCTCGCTACGCTCGTGTTTTCATTGGCACGAATTCGAAAAATCTTTTACGCTCAAGTTTTTGTACAATTTTCAATGCGTTTTGCGAGGAAATAAAACAAATATATAGGTTGATAAAACTAAGTATGTATTAAAGGTAAAAATTATTTGTTAAAATTAAACGTGATATTTGAACATGTTTTCGTGTCATACATTTTCATTTGAAAATATTCGTTCTAGGCTCCTTGAAATACAAATAATAAAAAAATACTTTTAAGCACGTGTGCAGTAAAGGATTTCAGTACATTTTTATTTAACACGTGTTTAAAGACTCACTTTCGGTGTTTACAATGGATTAAAAAAATAGCGCTTTACGAGCAACTGCATTAAAAACATTTTTTTATATTCAATAATATTGAATGACGTGTACGCGTGTCGTGTACAGATGCTGAAGGAGACGCTGGGCGCGGGCGTGGCGTACCTGCACGAGGGCGTGGAGGCGGGCGACCGGCGCGTGGTGCAGCAGCTGCTGGACTCGGGCGCGGTGCAGCTGTGCGTGCTCACCGCCGAGCTGGCGTGGGCGTTCACCGCGCACGTGCACACCGTCATCGTGGCCGACACGCTCACGTCAGTGCATATACAGGGCTACATACATATACGGGGCTACATACATATACAGGGCTATATATACTGGACTCGGGCGCGGTGCAGCTGTGCGTGCTCACCGCCGAGCTGGCGTGGGCGTTCACCGCGCACGTGCACACCGTCATCGTGGCCGACACGCTCACGTCAGTGCATATACAGGGCTATATACATATACAGGGCTACATACATATACAGGGCTACATACATATACAGGGCTATATATACTGGACTCGGGCGCGGTGCAGCTGTGCGTGCTCACCGCCGAGCTGGCGTGGGCGTTCACCGCGCACGTGCACACCGTCATCGTGGCCGACACGCTCACGTCAGTGCATATACAGGGCTACATACATATACGGGGCTACATACATATACAGGGCTATATATACTGGACTCGGGCGCGGTGCAGCTGTGCGTGCTCACCGCCGAGCTGGCGTGGGCGTTCACCGCGCACGTGCACACCGTCATCGTGGCCGACACGCTCACGTCAGTGCATATACAGGGCTATATACATATACAGGGCTACATACATATACAGGGCTACATACATATACAGGGCTATATATACTGGACTCGGGCGCGGTGCAGCTGTGCGTGCTCACCGCCGAGCTGGCGTGGGCGTTCACCGCGCACGTGCACACCGTCATCGTGGCCGACACGCTCACGTCAGTGCATATACAGGGCTACATACATATACAGGGCTACATACATATACAGGGCTACATACATATACAGGGCTATATATACTGGACTCGGGCGCGGTGCAGCTGTGCGTGCTCACCGCCGAGCTGGCGTGGGCGTTCACCGCGCACGTGCACACCGTCATCGTGGCCGACACGCTCACGTCAGTGCATATACAGGGCTACATACATATACAGGGCTACATACATATACAGGGCTACATACATATACAGGGCTATATATACTGGACTCGGGCGCGGTGCAGCTGTGCGTGCTCACCGCCGAGCTGGCGTGGGCGTTCACCGCGCACGTGCACACCGTCATCGTGGCCGACACGCTCACGTCAGTGCATATACAGGGCTATATACATATACAGGGCTACATACATATACAGGGCTATATATACTGGACTCGGGCGCGGTGCAGCTGTGCGTGCTCACCGCCGAGCTGGCGTGGGCGTTCACCGCGCACGTGCACACCGTCATAGTGGCCGACACGCTCACGTCAGTGCATATACAGGGCTACATATATATACGGGGCTATATACATATACGGGGCTACATACATATACAGGGCTATATACATATACAGGGCTACATACATATACGGGGCTATATACATATACAGGGCTACGTACATATACAGGGCTACATACATATACAGGGCTATATACATATACAGGGCTATATACATATACAGGGCTACATACATATACAGGGCTATATACGTATACAGGGCTATATATACAGAGCTACATACATATACAGGGCTATATATACAGAGCTACACACATGTACAGGGCTACATTCATAAACAGGGTTACAACGTCATAGTCAAAATAATCTTTATTCAAATAGACTTCTTAAAAGTACTTTTGAATCGTCTAACATTTTTTTTGCCTACCACTCGTTTAGATCTTTTGGCTGATAAGAAGAACGAGTGAGAAACTCACCGGCTCTAATAGGAGTAATGACATTCACAAAAACCATGTCATTACCAGATCAAATATATATATATATATATATATATATATCATCATCAGCCCTTTTACGTCCCCACTGCAGGAGTTCAGGCTTTATGGATGGTTAAGGAAGATAGGCCGTGACCCTCCACGCTGGCCCAATACGGATTGGACGGTGTTAACGTCCTGCAAGTGCAGCCGGAACCAACAGATTAACGTGCCTTCCGAAGCACGGAGTAGCTGGAGATAATATTTTTTTGGTCACCCATCCCGTGACCGACCATTGCGAAAGTTGCATAACGACAACGATCGCAGGCTATTTTTGAAGCAATAATAGACAACTGATTATTTAAACGTTCAACTTTTAATATAACACAATATTCTTAATGAAATATGCTTGAAAAATTTGGAAAAAAAAAACGTAGCAAGAGTAGCAAACGCTACGGGCACGTTTGGGGGCCCCGCGCAGTTGAAACCTCGCTGCGGTTAAGAGCCAATAAATTAATTTTTCAAGGCAGTGTTGCAAATGCAAGAAATAAAATAAGCCACGCTTCAAATAAAACTCCAGTCGCAGATTAAAAGTTTTATGTAATTCGGAAAATAAAAATGCTACAGGCCCCGCACTAGCTTAATTCGGCACTCTGAGATGGGACTCTGGATCGGTGAAAATACGTTCTGTGGTAACGAAAAAGTAACATGTGCTTGAAAGATTCGTCTGTCCTGTTAGGTCCTCGTCTCCTCGTGCCAGGGACAAGGTGGATTTTTTACGAGTTCTTCATTATGAACCTTCGCCTTTGTTATTTTTAGGTATAACGGCAAACTGCACTGCTACGAGCAGTACCCCATAACGACGGTCCTGCAAATGCTGGGGCGAGCGTGTCGACCGCTGGAGGATGACCACTCGGTGGCCGTGCTCATGTGTGTACAGCACCAGAAGACTTTCTTCACCAAACTGCTCAACGACTGTTTACCTCTAGAGGTAAGTCCACACTAAATAGGCAATACACTGTCCAACAAAATGTACTCATTGCACCCCCGTTTTAACCTAGAACAAGGCGTAACTTAACTAGAAGTCGCTTAATATTAAGAATAACATAAGCAGATTTGTCGTTTTACCAAACGTGTAACTTTTTTTTACACGATTCCCCCAATGTCACTTTAGTGGCCTTTACACGTATAGGGACAATAACAAAAAAATATATTTGGAGGTGATAAAACAATAACAAATATACGTGATCTCGTATTTACGCCCAAGTATTCATCGTCCATTTAAAAAAAGACCAAAAATAAAATAAAATCTTGTTTATATCTTAATTCTAATATAGAAACTCCTTGTTGAATCAACTTCTACTACGATCACAGGGTTTGAATTTATAATTTAATTTGTACATTTTATTATTATTTATCTATTGTAATATCATTGTTTTCCATTTTTTCCCTCTGTTACTTATTATAAGTGAACACTTGTAAAGGGCTTATAGACGTATAATTAATTTCTATTATGTAATTACAGCTGTAAGTTTTCCTAACTAAAATAAAATTGATGCCGACTTAGTAAATTGACACATTTTTGACTTGTCTTATTAATTACATATCTAGCGCATGTCGCCGCATAACGAATGTCGTTACTTTAGACATTACTTTAATATCGTTAGTTGGTACCTAGTCATTGGTGAAATGCATTGACAGATTTGAGCGAAACCTAAGTTTACTGAAAACGGCCCTACGTGTTTTAATTTAAATTTAATATATTATATATACTTCGGAAAAATTACTACGTCTTCTTTAAAAATTAAACCAACAATTTTTATTATCCGCAAAAACGATGTCTGCTATATTCCTGACGTCAAATTGTATTGATATTTATACAGAGCTATTTATGACCGTGAACTTCGATTTGAAACTACGGTTTTTCATGTTAAGCAAATTTGTACGTACCAGAGACTGGCAAAGCCAGCCTTCCTCGATCCTTACCTATCATAATTTAAATTTTATTTTATTTCCTATTCTATGGGCGGCTTGCGCATCGTCGTTAAATACAATTTAAGATCGACTTAAACGCATTTAGTCAGCTAAATATAATTAGCGTCTTGCACAACAAAAATTTAGGCACTAATCACGTTTAACGAACTGTCAAAGTTAAATAACCAAAGATGGCTATTTAGCGTCGCTAAATACGTTTAGTAGCAATCACGAGTCATCATTTTGAGGTTATAGAAATTTTACTATTATTTTTTAAAAGATTGTAAAAAGTTCGTTAGGTAGTTTGTACGATGGATTTGTGGGAATTGTATTCTGACGACGATCAGGAGATTATAGAATGTATCAACAGACCGAGGGAATTGTTTGAGAGAGCAGACTTATTTGGAATGTATTCGGACGACAAATGCTTCAGAAGGTTTCGTCTAACGAAAGAAACCACTATAATTTTGTTCCAGCAAATAGCCCCACATTTACAAATCGCACTCCCGGTGCGACACTGTCACTTATGCAAAAATTTAGTTTTTCAGGAGAAGAGTTTTAAACTCTGACACCTCACAAAACAATGACTTTAGAAGATACAGATGAGATGAATCATCGGAACATAGTTCCGTATGATTCACCTACAAAAGTAACATTATCGCACCAAGTAAAGGGGGCTTTAGGACAATTATTACATATTTAACTAATTTTTGTATTTTTTGCAAAAGTGACAAGTGTCGCACCGGGGGTGCGAAATCTTAACAACACAATTTGTGTGACTTGACAACTCGGTTGACTAAATGTGACAGTTGAAAGCTCGTCCATTTCACGCATTTTTTTTTAAGAAATGCAACCATTTTGCTCTAAGTCAAGTGTACAACGCACGAAAACGTAGAAAGGAACGCATGAAACTGCTTTACCGACTCCCTAACTACGATTAGTTAAATTACCATCCAAACGGACGTGAGCAAGACCTTTTTAATTGTATTTAGGCAAAACATATTTAGCAAGATAAACACATTTAACTAAACTCTGTTTAGACCAAATGTTGCGTAAGCCGCCCTATATCTACGTATTTATCTTATTTGCCATTTAGATATTTATCCTACCAAACATTGCTCCCATTGCCCCACAATATATCTATCATTAAATTTACTTCTTTCGCCATAGGTTGTTTGAAAGAGATTCCTATTTGGCAATAAGGCAGCCTTTTACCTACTCCATCTCCAATTAATATGTTGTGTTATTTGTCTATTGTAAACTGTTTTATTCCGAGTGCAATAAAGTCTTTATTATTATTATTTCCTGAATTAGGAGTCGGAACACTTGTGAATCAATAAATTTATAGGAAAAGCCCTGATATTGTCCTTGTGTGTTACTTATGTTTGAATATCTATTAATATCAGAGTCATCTCGACCATCGCCTGCACGACCACATGAACGCTGAGATAGTGACAAAGACCATTGAGAACAAACAAGACGCCGTCGATTATCTGACCTGGACCTTCCTCTACCGTCGCCTCACACAGAATCCCAACTATTATAATCTGCAAGGTGTCACGCATAGGTAAGTGGAATGCTGAATTCTTGCATTATCGAATGACTTTCGCTCATACAGCTATAGATGAAGAGTAGAAGGCCAAGTATACTTCCTTGTGGTACTCCGTAATGGTTTATTTTATCGGAATACACATTTGTAATTACTTTGAGAATAAATTTGATTTCAACCGATCATTAATCAAACTCCTGGTGCCTTATCATTTTAATTTGTGAATGAGTTGATTGTGGGACACATAGTCAAAAGCTTCACTCATATCAAAGATCTTAGTCAGTGGTATGCTTTTAAGTATCTTTTTAATGAGACAAAATATAAAGTATCTTCCAATTTGAGGAGCTCAATGGTGCGAGTTTAGTGGTTAAGGCGTTAGTTCTAAGATGTAGAGTATAAGCTACTTTTGCAAGGTCGAGTCGCAGGAAGGGTGATCAAAATTCACAATTTCGTGCTCTTATGTGTTTTGGAAGGCTTGATTCAATCTATAGGAAACACATGTGACCCAGCAGTGGAAATAATAATTTTAATAGATTGGGGACTCATTTAATATTCTTTTATGTTTTAATTAATTTGTTTTTTTCGATGTTTTCACTCTCAAATATAAGATATTGTGCTGCGTTATTGTCTGATATACCTAAATTGTGAAGACTTTCATTAGCATTTTTTTGCATTACGTAGGATTATATGGTTATGGTTGAATGATGTGTTTCGTGGAGCAGTCTTTGCTGGATTCCATTCCCTTTCACCAAAAGTGGGGGCACATCGAAGGGGGCTTAGTGGGCATGCCATCCACGTTTTGATTAGCCTTCGGGCGGGTTCGTGCGAATGGAGAGTTCCACACATCCATTTCCCCTAAGACATAAAAAAGGTCAAATTATGAGTAGTTAAATATTGCGCCTGCTCGTTAAACATCCTGTTCCTGGTGATTGAATTTATGTTTTATTTTATATCTAATTTAATTAAATTATATATTTCACTTAAAAATAATATTCCAAGAAAATTAATGAGAGCAAATTAAATTTCTTTCTGAAACAGGCATCTGTCAGATCATCTATCAGAACTGGTGGAGACGACACTGTCAGATCTGGAGCAGTCCAAGTGTATATCCATAGAAGACGACATGGACGTCCAGCCGTTGAACCTGGGGATGATTGCGTCGTACTATTACATCAACTACACGACCATAGGTGAGTAGCAGCATGAGCTTTGGCATAGTAGATCTAAAGTATTATTGATAAGATGAACTGATGAGAAATCGTATTGATTGTAATAATAAAACCAATGCAGAAGATAAAACAATTCAGGCTTCAAGCGCTAACTGAAACTTGGGTTTTATTTGATAATAGTTCAGGGTTAGTTGCATCAATTTAATTTGACAATAACAAATATATTATAGTACCTGTTAAGAAAATAATAATGAGTTATAATTTGGCAAGAGTTAAACTAAAACTTTACAATGCTAAGAAAGAGGATGGTGCAACACATATCACGGTCAATGTTAAGGTCAGCGTGACAGATATTGTTAACATATTAGACATAAACCTTAACTCTGCAATTATTCAGCAACCGAGACCAAGTTTTGTAACTAACATTACTAGTAATCCTGAATTACTAAAACTTAAATTACGATTAAACAAATATCCATGGATTTAATCAAATGTGTACTCGATATCTTTCGACACTAAGCCTTTAAGCTCTAATTAATGTTAAATTTGTATGTGTATTATGCCTTAAACTAGTGAACATTTTAATGGACGTTTATGGAACTGACTGTATAACATATTAACTGATTATTTGACATCTGATATTTAATAAATCACTTTCGAATAGAATTTTGTTGCTGTTGGTTTTGTATTGTGTATCACTTAAGTTTAATTTTACAGGATAATTAATTTCTGTAATGTAAACATTCAAGGAATATTTTAATAGAACTGTCATAAATGCTGGTTAAGTGTCATATAAAAACTAGTTTTTACTGTATTTATGGTGTTGATAAATAAATAAACCAAATTCTGGAGGCATTAGAGTTTTGAGCAGTTAACTTTTGTAGCCAAATTATAGGTAGATATTCAAATACCAGGGTATATGTAAAGATCTCTTGACTGAGCAAAGCCACACGAAATAGGACTCAAGTGACAGAAGAAACCAAATTGAATTTATTAAACATTAATAGAAATAACAAGCACCTAAAACATTCATCAGACTCGTTTGGGTCTTTGGTAGCTAAGTTGGAAGAGCTCCCACTGACCCGGATAGTAGTGGATCATCGGTTTGAGGCAGACCTATTGATATATATATATTTTATATATAAAATGAATTGATTGACTCCTTTGTTTGTTTTCCATTAGAGCTGTTCAGTCTGTCGTTGACCAGTAAGACCAAGATCCGCGGTCTCCTGGAGATTATATCCTCGGCCGCCGAGTACACAGAGCTGAGCATCCGCCACCGGGAGGAGAACATCATCAGAGCTCTCGCAGCCAAGTGAGTGAGCCGGCCGACTGACAACCGGTCTCTGAATTGAGAATAGGGATGACGACTAATTTTAATTCGTTTGTCCGTCAAGTACAGTGTTGAAAAATATTAAACACGTATTTTTTTATTTTATTTCCTAATCATAAAATTACGGCGATACATTAAGTTAAAATGTCGCATGTCGTCATGCTTTTTGTACATTTTCTACAAAGCTGTGACGTAACATACATGCCCCCACTCCTCAACTTTAATGCTAAGGTATTTCTTGTTAAATAGAAGCAATAAAAAATACGTATTTAATATTTTTCTACTATCTGACTGACGGACTAAATAGAATTGCATTTTTTTACCCAGTCTGCCTATTTGAAGTAAAACACGTCTCAAAAAAAAAGAAGCTTTTTTTATAATCAATTGAAAGCAGTTTGATAAACTTCGGACTTTTTGTTATGTAAATAGATAAAAACTTAATTTAGGTATTGAAAATAAAATCAGATAACATTTCGTACTTTTCTCAATGAGGAAGTATATCAAAAGAAATATAAGGGCCCGAAATCAAACTAGATGTCTATCGTTCTTGATTTCTCCATGACAACCCTTCCGGTTTTCTTTCTTGTATAAAAGTAAATTAATTTTCAAAATTCAATAACCAACTCATATTCCATTTGTACTTTTTCGTATTTGTATTGATATCTAAGTTTCGAACTTTTCAAATTTCAGTTTTTTAATATGTTAGTTAAAAGGTAAAGAAATTACTGTCTTTGGTCCATTCGTTTGCTCAAAAATCAACTTTTGCTAGAGTCGCCATCTAGTGGAGGTCCTTTTTTAGTGCTTTCTTTTTTTTTTAAATACTTCCTCATTCAGAAAATGGCTGTAAGTTTTTTGAACTTGTCAAAAGCATAATAATCATTATCATTTATCTATTGTTATTAAATTATGTTTTAATGTAATAATATGACACTAAACATCCATTAATAAGTATTGTTTGAAAGTGGCTATGCTCTTAAATATATAAAAATAATGAAAACTGTGTACACGAAACGAGGAAACTGTCCAAAACTTTAACAAATGACGATATATACACACGTTATATCGGTATTAGTAATATTATTTAACTATTCCTAAAATGTTTATTACGCATTCCGATGCGGTTGTGCCAAATCTCTGATTTTCTTCTATTCTTGTTGTTACAATGTCGAAATGAGACTAATTTTATATAATAATTATAAATTATTATTATTGTTTTCTCAATTACTGCATTCGATTCATATTTAACGATGTCGATACACTTCTTCTTTAATTCATGGCCTATTTGCGTTTACACAATTCCGCCAAAGTCACGTTTGTGGTCTTTACACGTAACGAAACAATAATAAAATATGCCAATTTAAAATTTTGGGGATAAAACAATAAAAAAAACTGCTCAGAGCTTTTTTTTTATTACATTGTTAATCGACTATATTAATCAAAAAAAGGAAGTTCTAATTGACAGATGTCAAACGCGCCTTTTAATTTCAACATTTGGGTTATCCAACTGTCATAGTTAATGTTTGACAATTAATGATAATAATACATTTCGTCTATCTCTTCTTTGGTAAAGGGTGCCCCACAAACCGACGGCGCCATCCGGCGGCTCGGTGAAGTACAATGACCCGCACGTGAAGGCGCACGTACTGTTACAAGCGCATCTGTCACGTACACAACTGCCGGCCGAACTGCAAGCCGACACTGCGCTTGTACTCACTAAGGTATTTAATGTTATCTTAATTAATTAAGATGTCGCTTAAATAAAATACATATCACTGACTTTATATAAAGCTCTAATTTACCTTTTAATGTTGTAACGTAACGAAAAGACAAATATATATATATATTACAATAGGATGTATTACTAGAACTTTCCGTAGCTAGATTGCAGCACTGGAAAGTGAATAGATAATTTCTGCATAATTCACTGTAAAGTTTGTTTACCACGTGTGCTAGTGTTGCCATTGTGACGCATTTTCTCTCGAACTTACATCATAAAATATATAATTATTATACATGTCATAATATATGTCAAGATTTATAGTAAAAAACTCACTTAAGCAATAAAAACAATTTCGATTAAGCATTTTTTAAGATTTTGTTTAAATTAGTTAATTTTGACCATTTTAGTTTCAATTGGCATTTTATTATACTCTGGAGTTTATAATCTAATACAAATACAGAAGTTGCCGCTGTTTTCTGCGGATATCTAGAGCTGCAACTTTAAAGTGATCCATTCTTTCAGCGTAAGATGTTAAGGTTCTACCAAGACCACATTATTAAGATAAGATTTTCATGAACTTCCTCTGGACTGTTTCAATCATATGGTTATTATACTCGCACGTCAGGCTATACGTCTGATCCAAGCGTGCGTGGATGTAGTGTCGTCCAGCGGCTGGCTGTCCCCGGCGGTGGCGGCGATGGAACTGGCCCAGATGGTGACGCAGGCAATGTGGGCGCGCGACTCGTACCTGCGCCAGTTGCCGCACTTCACGCCGGAACTGGTGCAGCGGTGCACGGACAAGGTACGCACCAATAGAATAGGCTCGTGTGTTACAAGTGATAATGCAGGTTTTTGTTATATCTTCGAAAAATATGAACCATTTTAACTTATAAATGTTAAACAAATTTGAAGTCGATGATTTGGAAAATATTACTCTTTGAAAACTTTCTACAAATTTTTTTAAAAATATATAAGGCATTAAATTAGATATAGAAAATGTTACAACTTTTATTATAACAGCTATAAACATAAACGCACAAATAACAAAGTTATTACAAAAATTGACCAGATGCCCATACATTTTTCGCTACTGTAGCACCGTGTGACGTCACTGAGTGCCTTGAATTTGTAGGGAGCGTTTTCGGCCAACTAGCAGCAGTTCTACAAAGACAGCACCGTATCTCCGAAACCATTAATCGCAGACATATCCACTACGCCACCGAGCTACTGATATTAAGCTATAATAATAATAATAATAATAATAATTTATTTAATTCTTTCCATTACAAAATTTAAATAATCTTAGGTCCCACAAAACTATATTAACAGTTTGACTGTGGTTGGGCTATGAGTCTCGTTTTGAGTTACATGTAATGCTACTTGATTAGTATAATTTATTCATTTACATACATGTTAAGTACAACATGTGTTACAGGCTATTCATTAAATAGTTCTTTAGTAGGTTGGAAAATATTTTTAGGTTACTTTCATGCCTAATATTGTCAGGTAAGCTATTTAATATATATGGGACTCTTTTGTTTAGAGTTCTATTTTAATAATTCACATATTATAACTTAGCTATTTTACTTTTGTATCAAATTACAAAAGTCCGATATCTTGGAATATCTTCTAGCTTTGCCTTCTATACTTAAGTATATTATTATAAAGAAAAAATATAGAGATACTTAAATAAATAAACTCTATTGCTCACATACAAAGGTAAAGTTTACGCATAGTATCTTAACTCTAGAGTGGGCAAAGGCGGCCTTATCGTTAAAGCGCTAAAAAGTCTAATCATATGTAAACCCTTGAGTGAAGGATACCTGAAGGATATGATATGGTGCCTATATTAAATGGAAGTTATATAAAATGTAATTTAAAAAAAAATAAGAATTCAATTGTTTGTTTGTTTGCATTGAATAGACAGAAAGTACCGGATGAAAAAAATGTACGCGGAAAAACAGCTAGTTCTGTATTAAATAATAGCTGTTAGTAGCTAACAGTAACAATCATATTCTTATTATTTAAAGTTAGTTATTCATACGTTCAAATTCTTGTTCATTTGTTAAAATAATTTCTTAAGTAATACACACAAATTTTTCGGGTTTATTGTTAGAACATATTATTTTACGTATCGGTTAGGTAAGAACTGTGAGAATTTTCTGTCTTTTTATATTGCGTTTGTTACGATGAATCATATTACGTGACCTAAAAACAATAAGGAATTTTAAGACACACTAAATAAATATTTGATGACGCGACAATTAGTTTCAATTAGTTAATCTAGCTACTCACATAAATGGTTCGCACTAAACATTTTTGAGTGGTTTGAGATCGGTTCCTCATAACGTCTTTGCCAGTCTGCCAGTCATAATTTTTAATGAACTCGTAATTCTGCAACTCCTATAGATCCTATGTCACTTTCTGCTTTTGCCTCTCCGTTGCACAGCACGAGTTAATTGGTTTGTGGGATTTACATATAAATTTATGTTTTGCATTCTAAACTAGGGCTTTTCACTGCTAAAAACAATTTTAAACAAGTAGAAGCGACGTGACGCCAAGCGACGCCATGACAGAAATTGGGAAAATTAAATACATTTTTTGATTTTTACCTGTTATATCTATAAAATAAAAATAAATATAAAAAGCGGCACTTATATTGACGAAAAGAGACTTACGGCCAGTTGCCCAAACGTCCATTAAGGTTTAATGACGCTTTTAAGCTCTAATTGATGTCAAAATTGTATGGGGTAATGTCAACTGGATGTAATTTTTTTTTTGCCATTAATTTTGTGGATCATTTGTGTACCGTTTATTATGTTTTCAGATTTTTTTTTGCCATTAGTGATGTGGAACATTAGTGTACCGTTTATTGTGTTGTCAGGGTGTGGAGACAGTGTTCGACGTGATGGAGTTGGAGGACAACGCGCGCGCTAAACTACTGCAGCTGTCCACCGCGGAGATGGCCGACGTGGCCAGGTTCTGCAACAGATATCCAAACGTGGAACTGTCCTACGAGGTAACGTCGCACTCGGATCATATACACCAAATTTGTTTATTTATTTATGGTACACAAAACAGATTACAGTCTACGAACTTCATCAGCCCTTTTACGTCCCCACTGCAGGGGCTCAGTCCTTCCTTATGGATGGTTAAAGAGGATGGGCCATGACCCTCCACGCTGGCTCAATGCGGATTGGAGGATATTAACGACTGCAAATGCAGCCAGGACCAACGGCTTAACGTGCCTTCCGAAGCACGGAGTAGCTCGAGATAATCATTTTCGGTCACCCATCCCGTGACCGACCCTTGCGAAAGTTGCTTATCCACTACGCCACCGAGCTAAAAAAACAATCAAATAACTTATATTGAGTGATTTAAAGATAAATAGCTAACGTTAGATAAATATTAGATTACATTATAACAAAATCTGATTACATTGAATTAAAACTAGAGTTAAATTAGCTTTAATTACAACGTACAACGTGAAAAATAAGGTTTAAGTGCTCGTTTACTGCTCACAATGAGTTCTACGGTCTTAATATTAATTTAATCGATAAATATCAAAATTAAATATAGGCTCCGAAACTACATGCCGAATTTAAAAAATTCTTTTACCTACGGGAAGCTACATCTTATGCCGTGGACACCGCCTATAATTTAACCAGAAAAACAGCAAACAAAGCAAATAGTAACCAATTTGTAATTTTTATGATTATACGTGTCATGTTATGAATCTATATCCAAATAAACAGTTCCCTAGGGACCTAGGGGGGGGGGGGGTGGAAACTAGTTATATATTGTTATGTTGTACAGGTGAAGAACGAGCGTCGCCTGTCGGCCGGCAGACCGATCGTGGTGGAGGTGACCCTCGAGAGGGAGGACGACGTGGTCGGACCGGTCATCGCACCATTCTTCCCACAGGTATACATATATGTTTATATATATATATATATATTTATATAATAAATATAAGACAACATCACGTGCATTGCTCAGATCCCAAGATGAGTAAAGCTAAAGATACTGTATTATGGTGTATCCGAGACAACGAAGGTACAACAACACCCAGACCCGAGACAATATTGAAAAATTCATTTTCTATACTGACCCGACCGGGAATAGGAACCCGGTTCCTATTCCCGGTATACCTTGTAACCGGCGTGCGTTCCACTACGGCTACGGAGGTCGTATAACAAAACAATTTCAAACCTAAATGCCGAAGTGACAGTTTAATTTAGTGTATGTTTTTTATTATTTTTAATAGGGATGACGAATGGATAAAAAAAAAAGAAATTCTGTTTAGTCTTTCAGCCAGGCAATAGAAAAATATTAGATACGTATTTTTATTACTTCAATATAACAAGAAATAGTTTAGATAACAACAGGCATTAAAGTTGTGGAGTTCGTTTCGTCACAGTTAAGTGAAAAATGTACAAAAACGTGACGTCATGTTACATTTCGGCTCAATGTATCGCCATAATTTAATGATTAATAGAAAAATTCGCGCTTAATATTAATCAACAACCTGACGGACAAACAAACAAAAAATAGTCGCCATCCCTATTCTTACTCTATTATACAGATGGCGTGATCGTAGATATTTTTATTTGTTTTATTAGAATGGTAACACTGACTCGTCTTTGAGTGGAAGTAGGTATAGTTTCTTTTTAATTTGACAGCGTGTTGACGTAAAGCGAGTTGCCGCCATTTTGGCACGCATTCTGCTCTGTTTCCGATCGTCGAGGAGTACATACATCCGTCGGCATCACGCTCATCTCGTTATATTTTCGTATGAAAAGTGATAAAATGGAATAAATCCACATTGGTATACACGCCTGCAGTGTTATTTTAGAGATAATATCGAGATATGGACGATCTATCGGGCTTCGTAATAGTCCTTTTGGACTTACTACCCGCCGTTTTATATTAGAGAAGATACAATTTTTTACGGTATTGCTACGGCCATATATTTTATTTTATGAGGTCGCGAAAGAGGGTAGCTCGATATATCTGTAATTAATATCCACCCGCAATATTCGATTACTCCGTGATTGTAGCACAGCGTCGAAATCTCCGTAGTAACAGCGTCGAAATCTACTATATATCAGCAATAGATTTTAATACTAGACTTTAGAATTGTCTCACAGTGTCTTTTTAGATTATTTTTTTAATATTTTCAGTTTATTGGTAGCATAGCCTATTGTTTATCGACTTATTTGTTAACAGAAACGCGAAGAAGGCTGGTGGGTGGTGATAGGCGATCCGAAGAGTAACACCCTTCTTTCTATAAAGCGAGTGTCGTTGGGGCGAAGCGCCAAAGTTCGTCTCGACTTCGTGTGCGGCGCCGGCGGCAGGCACACGTACACACTATACTTTATGTCGGACGCGTATTTAGGTGCCGACCAAGAGTACAAGTTTAGTGTGGATGTGGCCGACGTCGCGTCCGATTCTAGCGGCAGTGATGCAGAATAATGTAGTTGTTAAGTGTACAAATAAAATTTGAATATTGATGAAACCTATGTTTTATTTGAGACTGCGTATACGACACATCGTATATAACTAATAAAATAATATTATAATCAAGTAACTACATATGGGTATATTCGCCGTAACCTTTGATGTTCTTTAGCAACGGAAATTACTGTTTTTGGTCCATTAGTTTCCTGCAAAAATCAACTTTTGCTAGAGGCGCCATCTAGTAAAGTGCTTTGTATGTGCTTCCTCGTTCCAGTTAACGAATATAGTTCATCCAATCTTCACCAATATAAAGCTGAAAAATTCGTTTCGTGTTGAATAAGCCATTTATCGAGGAAGGCTTTAAGCTATATAACATCACGCTGCAACTATTAGGAGCGAAGAAATAATGGAAAATGTGAAAAAAACGGGGTAAATTATTCATCCTTGAGGGGTTCCGTTGCGTGCGCTACGAAAACGGTTCAAGATACCAAAAATATATGTATGAAAGAATTATTCCTCTTGAAGTGATCTAAAAAAATGTCCTCGACAAAATATGTCTATCTTTTAAGATTAACTCACTAGAACTGTTTATGGTAATCAAATTTGGTCGAAATTAATGCATTATCTGTTAAGAGTTGTATCAACGTAATAATATTAATGTATAGTATAGTAAGCTAGTGTTTCGAAAAGTTTCGCGTTCACAATCGTTATTGCATGTCAGATAGTTGTGGCGTAATGTCAGTAAATATTTTTTAAATGTGAGAATAAAAGGTATTGCGATATATTTGAAAATTAGGCCCAGACATATTTTACAGAGAAATCAAACAAGACCAAACTATGAAGCCGATTCTCTTAATTACTATTCGTACGAATCCAGAATCGAAATTTGACTCAAAATAAAAGAGTTTTCGATAATCTATGATGCAACGGAGTCTCTGATAGACAGATAATTTTTACGGAAATTATTTTACCAAAATTATAAGAACTATCCAAAATTTTCGTTCGAGGAAAAATAGAATAGGCGTCAACTTAAATTCTATGCTCAGTTTTAAAAGTAAAAAAAAGAACAGTGTATGTACGTAATTTAATCTTTATTTGGAAATGAACGAAAAATACAAACTACTATGAGTCTAAATACTTACAATAATATACAATCTTTATTACAGTAATGATTAAAGATACATTTTAACAGCCTATTTTGTACATGAATATGGCGGACACCATAAACAATACCAAATCACAGTGTTGCCAAGTAAATAAAAAAGGTGTTGCTGATAATAAAAAAAATTGTTCTGTTTGGTAGTTTTTAAATATAATAGTGGAGTTATTGCTTCCATTTCATGTATTATATTTAGACGGTTTTCTGGAGGTACTCGTCGAACAAGTACAGAGCGAGCGAGAGGTCTTGGCCGTTGTTGGCGGTGATGAATCTCTTGAGATCGGTGGTGTGGCCGGCTATCTCGCGGATAGTCTTTGATTGATCCTCTATGAACTCTTCTTCAAGGTACTGCGCGATCTGTTAAATAAAAAACATTTGTAATTTAATAGGATATACATATAAATTTTAGAAAAAATTGTATAACAACTTTGGTAGTGAAAAATATAGGTAACAATGATAAAAAAAGCCTGTTTAGTAGTAATTGTAGTATCAAATACCGAAATAAACAAAAAAGAAATCCAACTATTCTATCATACTTTAAAAACTCAGAACAATCAATTAACCTTCTCTCATTTTGCGAGGTCAATAAAACAATCATTCATTGTATTTTGATAGAACAAACTGAACAAAACGACAAACAAGGTCATATCCAGTTTAAATGCACATAATTTTTAGCTTACAATCATTATTTAGAACTAGGAAGATAAGGTCACGCAAATACATTATAAAAACAAAATATAGTTTTTAGCAATAAATGAGAAAGCCATATAATGAAAGTTACAAAATAATTAAATCCAACGTTCCACCTTAAATAAAAAGTAAAATTTACTATATAGAGTTCCTTCTTGATTCATAATAGCTTACTACATAACATCTGCAGTTGTTAACACCCATTAATCTGTACTGGACGCACTCAACAATGGCTATTAATGGGTTGAAAATGATGAAATCACAATTTTTACAGACAGCATTGTAGACCAGTAATTTCAAACAGTGATACAATGAAGACGAAATTTGTAATTCGTCGAATAGTAGCCATTTTCGAATATGCAGCCTGGATCTCTTGTGAAATGCTGTGACTTAAGAATTTTTTTGTATCACTGGTTTTGAAGTTAGGGTAACGAGTTAGCTATAGTTAGGACCAGAAAAGCAGAAGCTTTTCGCAGTTGGAACCGGCGGGCTCCTTATAGGGTCATAGAACCTCCGCCCACCACCGAGTATATTTAGGATTTACCAGTTAGGCCAACCGCACTTCAACCTTTAACAAGGATCTGCAGTTAGCTATAATTCTTACCTCAGGGTCGTGCAGATGTTGGCTGTTCCTGGTAGCTTCACGATGAATGTAAAAGGCACGTTCCGCGAGTTCCTTCTGGGTGTCCAGAGCCTTGGCCAGTGATTCTAACTCGTGCAATTCCACGGTATAGTTCTTGCGTTCCACGGGTTTCTGGGTGCTACGCTGACTGAAATTCATCTCATCACCTAGTGGACACGGAAAAATATTTTAAATTTACTCCAACATCTTCTGAAGAACTTATGTTTTGTATGTCAACAGAACTACAGTTTATATAAAACCGTCAAATATCTCAATTTAATTTAAACCTTAATACATTGCGTGCAGAGCTCATAATCACTTTGGAGATGAATTTTGATGAATGAATGAATTTTTCACGGACCAAAAACGGTAGTTACGCCACTGTATCATACTAATTCTATTAAAATATATTATATGCTAACAAAAATAAATGTTGGTTACTATTTGTTTTAGTAATATTTACATACTTAACTTCTCTCCCTTTAAAAATATTGCCTAATATTTTTAATTTCCTTTTCTAGTAACAAAATACACTTTTCTGATTTCAGTATACTGGCAACATTTGAAGAAATGGTAGATTTTTGATATACCCACTAGCAAACACTAACCTCTCATAGTGACGTGCTTAATCAACTCGATGGTTTTCTCCCAAGCTTGATCAGACAGTTTTTTGAATAGTTTGCTGAAACCAGCTCTGTTGGTCTGATAGTTATTGAAGTAAGCAGCTGAGAGCAGATATTCGTATGACCTCTCCAGGTGTAAATTGGCATACGCCTGCATTTCGGTGGCAACATTGCCATGCCTTCCATATTCTCCATACACCGCATTACAACGAGGCAGGGCTGTAAGAAATTATCTAGTTTATGCATGAACTAAGGATGCGATTGTTTTAATAAATTATGTATGAAAATAGTGGTGTAATGATAGATTCGATAACATCAATAGCTGATCTTATCGATATTAAACTACCCTAGAATCGATTTTATTGAAATTATCGATAGTGAAATACAGCGAGCGACAGTTTGAATTGAACATAAATATAACCTTATTTATGCCGTGATAATGTTTAAAATGCTTTGTTAAATCTCCAACAGACATTTTGATTCATGTTTATTAATATTCATGATATGAAATTCACACAACATGCAAGATGTTGTCATTACACAATATAATATTTACCCATTTTTTATAACACACGTTCATGCACCCACATTTAAAGAATGCATGGGCCCATGGATGGTTAAAAGAATAGATTTTTGAAATGTGCACAATTGTCTCTTTACAGTACAATATCCTTAATAGAACTATTTCTTAAAAAAAAAAAATTAACTGTGGGTGAATTGTTAATTTCTATTTCTAAAGTAGCAATAGTTTTCGGAACGCTGATGATTTTAATTATAGAGAAATATAATAAAACATCGTAATAACTTGGAAGAATTATTTGCGTCTAACGCTTACCTTAGACAAGTCCTATTAATTTTAAATTAACGATCATTTAATATGATAATAGTTCGTGAATATCTTTCACATAACAAATTGAATAGGGATTGCCATAGATTTTATAATTAGACAATTAGGTCCCTGTATTGCTTATTAAAATATTAATATTTAGTAAATAAACTATAGGATATATCGATAAAGATCGGACGTTGGCCTCAGGCTCCAGGTTTATTATAAGTAGCAACGATGTTAGTGTTGCATACTCAAAAGGTAAAAAGCAGACCCTATTACTACAGTCTGTCTGTCTGTCACCAGGCTTTATATCATGAGCTGAGAGTTGTCACAGATGATGTTATTTCTGTTTCTATTACAGCAAATATTAAAAACAGAATAAAATATTTTTTTAGGAGGGTTCCCATACAAATAAAAGGTGTTCATTGTGTTTATTTATAGATAATAGTACAGAACCCTTCGTGCGCGAGTCCGACTGGCATTTGGCCGGTTTTTATATTATTATCATAAATAAATTGAATAAAAAAAATGTGTCTACAATTTAGAGTAACAAACACAATTTAAATATGTGCACAGATTAAAAATCGATCCTCTATATTAAAATTAAAATTTCCCATCTTTTTTATTAAATGAAATGTCGCGATAACATTTTGTGTATGGATATTCCCAAACACTGTATGCTTACTCACTTATTCGCCCATCTGAAAATCGATAAGATAATCAGAATTATTAAGATAGTGAATGATTTTATTAACAGTAGCTTCAAATCGATGCCTTTTTATAACTATCATAAAAATATATGAATTGATATAAAATATATATTTTTAATATTTACTTATGGATATTCTCACATTGTCTTATATAAAATACAAAAGCTGCATATTGGCATTAGTACCGTTCAAAACTGTTAAGTCCAAACAATTTTTTTTCCTGATTTGTTCAGAATTTATTTGCGGCGCCATTAATGCGTCTTACTGGCGCCGAAATTGCGTCAGTATGGCGCCCATCTTCGATAACTGTAGCTCTATTGCACCTTGCTAGCACTATTACTTAAAAGTACTGTCACTAGACTCACCTAAGCTGGTGGATGCTTGTCCACAGTCGAGGGACACGTCTTGATAGCATGCGTCCGCGGCGAAAGCACCTGTCGCTGCCAGTAGGCACATAACTGCACTGATGATGGCTTTCATTTTTCTAAAAAAGTAAAGCATATTTATTTTAACATTTTCTATAGATAGTTTCAAACAAAGTTGCCTCCCGCTGTCTGTACGCGGACATCATTTAAACTATACAACACTTTGTCCCTGGTACTCTTGAGATGCCTGCTGACTGCTCTAACCACTGATTTACCCAGGACTTAACAGGACTGGTGAATTTTTCATCCACTTGTTACTTTTTAAATACTAAAGAGTGTATTATCATCATTGTTCAGGTACCTAATCCACTCAAACAGCCTATACTCTATGTTGTTTTAAACTTTTACAGTCATTAACATTAGAGAAATAGGTATTTACTCCACACGGTAAGCCAAAATCAGCATCCCAGACTTAAAAGATTTGGTAGCCCAAATTTTTTTATACTGGCACCCTAACAGAAAAATAAATATAAATTGGATAAAATAGAAAACAACCATATGTAAGTCTTAAGAACATACAGCATTGGCAAATGTGATTTTTGATAATAGTCCATATTTTTTCAGATCATTTGTGATCCTATATCATTAATAGCTTAAAGGCTATATCATTAATAATAAATTATGTTACAATGATTTAAAACAGCAATCAATCCTCATAGTTACAATGAGTTAATAAATAAGATTTATCAATGACAATATTTTATATATGATAAAAGGATAATATTTATCATTCTATTATAGTGATTATAAAACATATATATCATGTTGATCTACATAATGTAGGCATCAAGACATGATTTTTGTTCAGATATATTATTTATCACATTAGTTTGAATTTTATACATGCTAAACTAAGATAGCAAGTATTCAAGATAAGTAAGTAAAGATTCCATGTAGTTAAGTATTTTTAATGTCCTTATTTACATAGCTTAAGACATTTATGTTAATAAAAATTTTTTTACGTAAAATTTAGAAACAAATGAAAACATGTTTTTAGTAAAACTAATGATGAATTTTATAAGTTTCAGTCCTCTCCTATAAGTTCAACATTGTTGCTAAGGCTTTGAAAAAACTTCCATTGTAGTGACCATATAGCTATGGAAGTGACACACACAATTGGTGATATCCATAGTTCAGACATCACAAATAGATCATCATCATCATCATAATCAACTTCATTACAAATAGAAAACATAACAAATTAACTTCTAAATATCTTGAAATTACTTTTATCTGATTGTAGTTTACTCAATCAACCTAAACAAACTGAGTAACAGTCTTATTTATCTTTCGTTTCATAATAATCTCGGATTAGAAGGTTAGTCTTCTAAAATATTACAATCCTACAGGAGCTTGTCACTTTATAAGTAAAATCTAAATGAATTTATCTAACTTAAAATTTGCTTTGGTGACAATATAATAAAATCAATTGTGAATCATACTATGTAAATTAAAATAATGATATAATATCATTCAATGGCTATACAGAGCTGTAATATCAAATGCAGATAACATATGGCTCTGTTCTTTAGTGGCCCAGATCAAAAATAATAACAGCCATAGAAGAGTTTCAAAGGGCAGTATGCTGTGCCTTTGCTTAATGTATGCTCACCATGCCTATGGCAGAGACATCTCAATACAATATCACACCATCATAAGTATCAACCTTCTAATGTGAATACATTGGCATTATTAAAGATGACAAAGCAATCAAGGTGAGGATGGTTGAGCGTAACAAGATACAATCCTAGTGGATAGTACAGCTGTACTTCATGCCCTTATGAGCATGACTATAGACCCTGGACTAATCTCACACTACAGTGGATTCAGTGGAACCATTCCTAGCATCAGGAGCATCACCTCTGGTACCACCATTTTTCTCACAGATAAGGGCATGTCTGTGTAACATAGGTAACGATGGGCGCAACTTCCGACAGTCAAGAGAAGCCTTACCGAAACTCAAACCAGAATTAGCTAGGTAATATTTTGATACCCCCTTAATATAAGAATTTTTTGATACATAATAAAATCCCAGTTTATGGTTGACTTTAGACAATTAGATGACCACTATTTAATAGGTTATAAGACTATTTTAAGTAAAGATTTCAAAATTAGGTTTTTATTTACTTGTTATCTTTATCTTCATTATCAAGTCATTGGTTATTCCATAAATGTCAATAAAAATTTGTGATAAAAATAATTACTACAATATAAATTAGTGACATAAAGAGAATACTTAATTAATAACATTTATTTTAATAATTAATAATTTTAATTGAAAATTTAAAACCTGATGGAAATTTCTCAAGTCATATTTAATTTTATTTGGTCAAAATCGGATTAGATTTAATTATTATTGTATTACAGTTTCTTTTTACATAGCGAAATCTCTAATACTACAGCTGCGTAGAGTTCCCTTTTTAAATATTTAAAACATTTTTTAAAAGAACAGAACAAAGGCATGCTGCTTCATAAATCGTTATAAATCCCGATAAGATTTCGAAAGATTTCGCATCGTTGAAGTAAGACAAAGCAATATAACAAATAAAACATGACGACTATTTTTAAGTACAAAGGCTACTCACCAAAGTGCGATGTAACTTTGTGACAAAATAAAAATATCAGCCAAAGATGCGTCAGAAGTGGCACCTTTACACACACTGGCGTAGAAGGCTTCTTCTAACTACTCAAAGTAAACTGATAAACAGTTCCAGTAAGGAAAACAGAATTTAATTGTAATTTATCCGCGCTGCGATCAACACTGTATTGCAATTTGTCATTAAATAAAATTATATCGTAAAATCATCTGGATCCGACAGGCGTGAAGTTTGTGTTTATAACTCGGTGTTGCTGAGTTGAGAATATAATTACCGTGAAAAGTTGTTGGCTGACGTATATATACAATTTTCTTTATCAGGTGAGATGCTTTCTAAATAATGTTCACCAAAAATTCAAAAATCTAATTTAGTAGAATTATTTTGTTATGCTTCACAAGTGATCGCTTAAATTAACTGTCCACAAATAGTGGTAGTCAAGTAAGTCTGGTATCACTCGTGCCCGCCTCTTTCGATTAGATTCCCCCTTGTCTCCCCCGCTATGACCCATTCTGTGACGTCACAAGTTGTCACGGAAAGTCAAGGTTTTGTGTTTCGAGAAATTTCTAATAAATGCATCATATTTACATATTTCAAAGAAAATATTGCTTATTTTGATTGTATTATATTATTTATTTGCTTTTGATCGTCCATTATTATTACAAAACCTCCAAAAAACTCAAATAATAACACAGGAAAAATACCACTTTGCGGGCCTTGAAACTCAAAACCTCTACGAGGTTTTTCGTTCCAAGTATCAAAGTGTATCCTTCTCGCTCACTCATGTCATTCTGTGTTTCAAACCTCGTCTTGTCAACACGAGATGGTTTTGTTATCGATGCGTAATTCATTATTTTTGTACAATCAAAGCTATCAGCGCGAATAAGTATCGTCTTTGTTATATTTTGAAGCATTTCGAGTCGCCTTCTATGCCAGTGTGTGTAAAGGCTTGACTTTCGCGAGTACCTTCCACCCTTATTAGAAATTTCTTTGTTAAATCTAACAATAAATTCGTCAAAGTATCTGTGATTTAATTATAGAATAACAATGAAGACCTTGCTTGCTGTTGCTGCCTTCTTGGCTGTATGCGCTCCCTCATTAGCTACACAATGTGAGTAAAACTTTTCTTCATAATTTATATATTGCCCAACTGGACAGCATTTCTCTTCTGAAAAGGTTTACCTACTACTTTATATATTTTTAAATATCTTTTTTTATCAATAGATTTGTTATAGTTAATAAGCGAAATTATGTTAATGCAATAGATGTCCAATTATTACATAAAACACAAGATTTGAGGTGACTGTCATTTGTGCCTTACTAATATTACATGGTGTTTAGTTCAAAGGCCGAAAATAATAAAAGCCATCTAGTAGGTATATTTTTCTGCTTACAGCTTAGGTTGTAAATAATTTTTCATATAATTTGCAAATAGACATTATTTTTATTCATCAGCCAAAATGGCCAAAACTAAGTAAAACAGATGAGATTAAAATTTGGATAATTCTCTTTATGGTAGGAAAGTGAAAACTTAAAATTAGCTGTCACTTTGATAATGCATTTGAATTTTTTACCAATTTTTTTTGTAGTCTATGGTAAAAGTAAAGTTGTTTATTATACCATATCCTTTGTTTTAGACATGTAGGTATATAGGCATATTTTTTTATTACCTGTTATTTAGTTATATTGCCAATCTATCAAAATACTAAACAATAATTCTCTTCACATGTAGGTGTTGGCTTGCCCTATTAATATTAGAGGAAGCCACTCAATAGCAGGGTTAAATTTTAAAATGTATGGTTAATTTAAACTTGCAAAGGTGATTGTGTGTGTATACTTGTAATTTGGTGCACCCTCTAAGTAGGTGACACCTAGCAACACTACTGAAAAACATGATGTATGGTTGTCAAATATTGTAATTGGTTGACCTTCTGGGCCATTTACCCGATGTCAACCAACAAATAAAAACAAACAAAAAAAATGGCTTCAAAATAAAATCATAAAATTTTCCAGTGGTTTCTATTTGAAACACAAAATTAATGTTTCACTTGTCTAAGTCATTAATAATGATTTTATCATTAAACTGACAGTTGATTTCTGTTTTGATAAACTTTACAATATGTTTCGAAATTTATCTCAGATTTATTGTTTTATGATATGTAAAAATTATCTATGTAGGTATATATTAGGATTACTTACCTAGATTCTTTAAATTAGTGATTAATTATTTAAAATTAATTGTTCAATTAAAACATATGACTGGCGGACTTAATGCCATTAGGCATTCTCTACCAGTCCAGATTATCGTAAGGTTGCCAAATATACTCTACGAGTATTGTACTCTATAACACACATACTCTATAATCTGTAACACAAATAGATGACGCCAGAATACTCTTTTTACACAATATTTATTATGCTAATGCTAGTCACGCATATATGTATAATGCATACTTATCGTAAACAAGACCTTTAGATATCAGATCAGATTCAACTCATCCTTTCCATTTGCTAACCTTGGATCGCAGGCGATACTGGTATGTGTCTCAGGAATTATTAAAATAAGATTTGACCAGCCTAATTGCTGTTATCCTACTTCGAAATATGTTATATAATGACAGCAATTTGAGAAAACCATGGACTTTTAATTAATCCTATTTACATTCTCGATTGATAGACACCAAAATAAAATACATAACAGTATTGTGATTGGCAATATTCAAAACTTTTTGTTTAATATCAAAGAATATTTAAGAATCTTGAATCTAGTTTTTCAGGGGGCAGCTTGGTATTATTGGGGGCATATTGGAATGTTTTATCAACACACAAATCGATTTCATATAACTTTATTGATAAATTTTCGATAGCATTGCATTACTTATATGTTCACAATGACTAACAATGGAATAAAGGTTATTCTTGGCGTGACGCTATTAATTATCGAACTTTGCAAATTTCAGTTTTTTAATATGTTAGTAAAAAGGAAAAAAAGACTTTCTTTGGTAAATTTGTTTCCTGCAAAAATCCTCTTTTGGTAGAGTCGCCGTCTAGTGAGGAGCTCTTTTAGTGCTTTCTTTTTTTCTTAAAATACTTCCTCATTAACATAACCATGGGGCAATTCCATTTCATAATACCGCATTATCTATCTCAGGCCCAATATTATTAATAAAAATAAAAAAAAAATACATACTCGGTGAATCTAGGACCCTTTTCGATTTTGAAGGTAATTAAATTTTTTTTTTTTTTAATATTGCTATTTGCGATCGGTCGCAAGACCATAAGCGAATTTGTTGATGTAATTGGAGATTGGTTTAGTGAAGTGGTCAACACCGCTTCTACTAATTAAGTATGTGGTCTCTTTTCAGCCTCTTCACCACTTTCGATGGGTCCAACAACTCTGCTATAAGAGGATTTGGGTGATTTTTTAGACGATCCTTGTGTCTTTTTCGATACAATTCGATTTCAGCGGCCACTGTTGGCATGTTCAAATATGCATGGATTTCATCGTTCTTGGTAAACCAGGGAGCATTTACAATATCCCTCAGTATGCTGTTTTGTACTCGTTGGAGACATAGGAAATTCGATTTGCAAGCCACACTCCATATTTGAATCCCATATGTCCAGATCGGTTTTAAAACTGAATTATATATCAGCAGCTTGTTGTCGACGGACAGTACTGAGTTCCTTCCCATCAGCCAGAGTAAGCTTCGATACTTTGCGTTAATTTCGTTCCTTTTATTCTTTATGTGATTCTTCCAGGTCAAACGTCGGTCAAGGTGGAATCCTAAGTATTTCACGTTGTCAGAATGTGGCAGGATATCATTTCCAAGTTTGACTGGGGCGCAATTGCCTTTCCTCAAAGCGAATGTGACATGTTGAGACTTACTAACACTTGCGCGTATCCGCCATTTAGAAAGCCACCTATGTGTCGCATCAAGCTGCTTTTGCAAGTTATAGCTGGCTACCCCAGATACCCCAGATAAGAAGGCAGTGTCGTCAGCGTAGGTTGCAACAGTGATGTTATTCAATACCGGTAGGTCATGGGTAAATATAGTATATAGTACTGGTCCAAGGACCGACCCTTGAGGAACACCAGCCTCGATTTTGTAAAGGCTTGACCTAGCTTCGCCTTGTTTGACCTGATATGAGCGCCCTGTTATGTACGATTTAATGAGAAGGAACATTGAGTGTGGCAAGTTATTCTTTACTTTGGCCAAGAGTCCCTTGTGCCAAACTCTATCAAAAGCCTGCTGTACGTCCAGAAAAGCCGCCGAGCAATAAAGCTTATTTTCGAAACCTTGTCGTATAGTGTGATAAATTCTGTGGACTTGTTCGATCGTTGAGTGTGCCTTTCTGAAGCCAAACTGATGAACTACATTCATTCATGGCCGGTAGAAGTCGCGAAAGGAATGTTCTTTCCCAAAGTTTTGAGAGCACAGGCGTCAAACTTATAGGCCTATATGACGACGTTTCATGTTCAGGCTTTCCTACTTTGTGTATCATCACTACTTGTGATACCTTCCAGAGTGATGGAAAGTGGGATGTTCTTAAGATGGCATTAAATAAACAAGTAAGAAAAGTGACAGCTTTTTTGAGTAGCTGTTTAAGTATCGTTGGCGTTATAAAATCAAAACCTGGAGCTTTTTTAACGTCAAGGTTTCTTATCTCTCGTGCTACCTCTCTCGGCGATACTGGCTTGATTGGTAGGTGCATCTGTAGGTCTCTACTCAGGACTTCGTCTACTTCTGTTTCATCCGATAGCTGCTCATTGGGTTTGAACACTCTAGACAAGTAATGTCTCAGCTTTTTCCAGGTCTGTTCTTGCCCATAAAGTCGTCGTTAAAGGGGATTTTATAGGAGGACATGGAAGTTGAGGTCTCTCTAAGTTTGAAGCAGCTTTCCAAAGCGAATGCTGACTGCAGCCTGTCGGTGATAATCTGCAAATGTTTTCGGTGATGGTTTTGTTCACAGAGCTCTTTATGGCTATTTTTAATCTTTAGCAGCTTTGTTGAGGATTGATTTGTCAGCCGGTAAGCGAGATAAGTGCCAGTTTCTTCTGAGACGTCTTTTCTCCATGATCAGTTGCTTTATGTCAGATGAACAAGCAGAACTTTTCATTCCAGTGCTTGCGTTCCAGTCTCCGCCGACTATGAATCTGGGGCCTAAAGTTTGGAAATAGGCTGCAAACATGTCAGCAGTAATTTTAGGCTTTGGGGGACAGTAAATTGAGGAAAGCGTGATGCTGCCGCGTCGTGTTTCAAGTTGGACTGTAGTGGCTTGAAGATGCATCGTCGAGAAAGATTCCAATGGTGTGTGCTTCAGATGCGATTTTAAAATTATAGCGGATCCAGCATGAGCTCCACCATCAGGATGTGGAGTGAAGTAAATGATGAATCCTTTGAGGCGGAATGAACTTCTCACTGTGGCATGTGCTTCAGATATTAAAACCACATCGAGATTGTTTGTATGGATCAGAATCTCAAGTTCTTGAATGTTAGGTGACAGTCCATTAATATTCCACGTTGCAATCTTCAACGTGAGCTCTTTTACGGTGATAGCTTGGTAATCACTGTAGTCAGTAGGCCAACTAGGGTACTGATTTGTTGAAGGAGGAGCTCAATTTTCTCATTCTGTTTTGTTTTGAACATCTCTTAGATGTTCAAAAATCCTTAATTGATCAATAGAGTCATCTTTATGTTCCTGATTATTGCTAGACAGTTTTCTGGGCCGACCTGAAGTAAATTCAGCGTAGGTGTGTTGGTTTGTAGATCTTAACAAAGTTGTAGAAGGATTTGAATTGTTGCTGTTGTATTTCGTTTGCTCAGTATTAGATATATTTCTGACTACATAAGCACTTATCGGGGTCAAAATTTGGAAGGTAATTAAATATAGCCTAATAATAAAGTAATGGTGACAGATGTTATTTTCTATGTTTGATTTACTGACAAAAACTCTGTTATAATAATATTTACTACTAAACAGTCATCTCATTATCAGTTTTGATGAATCACGGGTTCATTTAAGACAGGTCGGTGTTGTGTTGGGGTGTCGGTGGCCAGTTGGCCGATAGTGTATAGTATCAAGTCGTATCGTTTCAATCGATAACAAATA